GTAGGTGATTCTTGGTTGTAATCCTATCTCCTTTGCCCTCCAGAATATTACATTCCATGCCCTCTGGTCCCTTAATCTTGTGTTATCCTGATTGTGTTTCCACAATAGTTGAATTGTTTCTTTCTGGCTGCTTGCAGTATTTTCTCCTTCACCTGGGAACTCTGGAATTTGGCTACAATATTCCTAGGAGTTTTCCTCTGGGAATCTCAGGAGGTGATCAGTGGATTCTTTCCATTTCTATTTTGCCCTCTGGTTCTAATATATCAGGACAGTTTTCCTTGAGAATTTCTTGAAAGATGCTATCTAGGCCTTTTTTGATCATGGCTTTCAGATAGTCCAATAATTTTTAAATTCTCTCTCCTGGATCTATTTTCCAGGTCAGTTGTTTTTCCAATGAGATATTTCACATTGTTTTCTAATTTTTCATTCTTTTGGATTTCTTTTACAGTGTCTTGATTTCTCATAAAGTCACTAGCTTCCAATTGTTCCATTCTAATTTTTAAGGAAGTATTTTCTTCAGTAATCTTTTGGACTTCCTTTTCCATTTGGCCAGTTTTGCTTTTTAGGCATTCTTCTCCTCATTGGCTTTTTAGACCTCTTTTGCCATTTGGGTTAGGCTATTTTTTAAGATGTTATTTTCTTCAGTATTTTTTTGGGTCTCCTTTAGCAAGCTGTTGGCTTGTTTTTCATGATTTTCTTGCATCATTCTCAGTTTTTCCTCTACTTCTCTTACTTGCTTCTCAAAATCCTTTTTGAGCTCTTCCATGGCCTGGGATCAATTCATATTTTTCTTGGAGGCTTTGGATGTAGGAGCTTTGACTTTGTTGTCTTCATCTGGTTGTATGTTTTCATCTTCTCTCTCACTAAAGAAAGATTCTATGGTCTGACTTTTTTGTGAGGTTTGCTCATGATCCCAGCCAATTACTTGAGTTATAAACTCTTTGTTAAGGTAGGGGTCTGCTTCCAGTGTGGAGAATGTAGTGTCCCAAACTTTGGGGGTTTTGTGCAGCTATTTTCAGAGACACTTCTAGGGACCTGTAAATTTTCAGTTCTTCCAAGGTGCTACGATCAAGGACGAGGTGTTTACTCCTTTCCTGTCCTGTGCTCTGGTCTATGAGTGACCACAAGCACTCTTTTCTGCCTTGGAACTGTGAGGATTTTCTCTTCACCACCACAAGCTCCACCATGCCAGTGCTCCTCTTTGCCCCAGGACCGCCATCCAGAACTGTGACCTAGATCCAAGCAGGGGCTAAGCAAGAGAATCCTGCACCAGAAGAGAGATCCCTGCAATCCCTCTCTGATCAGCCACTGGATTCCCCCTCAGTCTGTAAGCGGAAAGCTCTGGAAGCAGGTACCACCCTAGGGTCAAGCTTGGGGACTGGGGCTGGGACCCCACACTTCTATCACCACACACACAGACTTTTCCCACTGACTTTCTAAGTTGTCTTTGGCGTTCGTGGGTTGAGAAGTCTGGAAACTGCCACAGCTGCCCACGATTCAGTCCTCGGAGGCCTCCCTTGCCTGAGCACCCATGCTGAACTGGACTCCTCTCGCCACCCAGTGAGATATACCTTTCTGTACAACCATCTAGGCTGTCAATTTGTTTCACTCTGTCTTCTTGTGGGTTCTGCTGCTTTAGAATTTGTTTAGAGCCATTTTTTATACGTATTTGGAGGGGTTTGGGGGAGAACTCAAGCAAGTCACTGGTTTTACTCCATCATCTTAGCTTTGCCCCCAGGTGGGACAGAGGAAAAACCTGTGGATCTGTACTTCAAGGTGGACCTCCACTATTCATTCAGTGATGCCAGTACCTGATCACATGATTGTAGGTATAGTAAGCAACCACAGATGGCTTTCTTTTTTTTTTTAAAGGGGCCCTATTATTTTCACCTCAGCTTTCCATTCATAATAGACTTTCTAAAGCAGTGATTGATGAAATAGGGCTTCATCTGTTACTCTTGCTTCAGGATCTATGCTTTGGTATCTTTTGAGCTATGGAAGGTATTGAATGGAATGAGGTGTGATCACATAAATGGAATGCTCATTTTCCCAATGGCTACTGAAAGACCATTAAAAAGGATATGCAAAATTTTGTCATCTATGATTTCAGGCCCAATGAAGAGTATCCTATTTGGTTCTGAGCAGACATCTATCCAGAAAGTCAATTTTTAAAGTGTATCAGTAGAGATCTCTGTTGGTTTAGAGACAGGCTGCCAAAATAGTGGGAATTAAAACTAAACAGGTGTCAGAAAAATAACCAATTGGTATGGGCACAAACATACGAGGAAGTTCTCTGAATCACCAGGGCACTGCCAAGACTACAAAGGAAGTACTTAACTTACAGTTAGAAAAAGTAATAGTAAAGAGTAAACAAATCATGGAAAGAGGCATAGTCACAAATGAGAAATTAAGTAATGAACTGTGCCAAGTCATACTTTTTAGCAGGCTCTGCCATACACTAACATTTAATTCTGACCCCAAAGACCTTATTTTATTATTATTCCTCTTCATGTCCTTTCTAATCCAGGTGCTACTAGGTGTTCCCAGAACCTAATATTCCACATCTTTCCTCTCTTCATACCCCAGGCCTTGAACACATTTCTCTCCCTCCTTATTACTACTTTAGAATCCTTATCTTCCTTGAAGGTTCACTTCAGAGACAACTTGTCTATGAAGTCTTCCCTTATTATCCCTCTTCAAATTACCTTATTCTTACTTATCTAAATAGAGGTTGTATTTTTCCAAACAGTATTTCATTTTTCTATCCTCAGTGCCAGGAAATGACTTGCACATAGATGGCCCTTAACAGATGTTTAATTGAATTCATTAGCACTGGAGGAAATCCCTTACTTTACTAAAACTTTGATTTAATCAACATGGATGGTTCTTTTAGTGATGCAGATTTCTTGATGCGCTTCCATGATGCAGTCCTGGTTTTTGTTCTCCCTCTGGTTATCCTTTCTCTCGCGTATTAAACTTTTCCTGCTCCTTAAATGTAAGCATTGTTTTCATCCTTGGCTATGGTCCTTCATCTTCCTGCTTACTCTCTTCATTGTTGACAGCAATCTTAAAACTGAATGTTATTTAAACTCATATCCATTTCCTTCTTGGAAAACCTCTCTTCTAACCTCCCAGTCAAGTAGGTTCATAAACGTAAGTTATGCTCATATCTTTCTTGTCACCTCCTATAAGCAGGTTTCAAGTCTTACCAATTCTTTTTCTAAAACATCTCACACCCATATCAACCAATCAATATGGTTCAGGCTCTCAAGACTTCTTGCCTACTCTAATAATCCCTAAGTAGTCAGTCTCCTTTCCTTGCTCCTACCTTTTCTAGTTTTGTTTTTAGTGAGGCAGTTAGAGTTAAGTGGCTTGCCTGGAGTCACACAGCTAGGAATTATTATGTGTCTGAGGCCGCATTTGAACTCAGGCCCTCCTGACTCCAGGGCCAGTGCTCTATCCACTGGGCCACCTAGCTGCCCCCTGCTCCTACCTTCTTCAACCCATTATTCACACTGTTGTCCAGGAAACTTTCTACAGATCTATTCCTTTATTCATAAACCTTCAGTGACTCCTCATTCACATTTAACAAACAGAAGGCAAACCTTTAGGTTAGCATACAATGTTCTCCACAGTATTGTCTTATTTCACACCTTCACATATTCTATATCCTAGCCAAAGTAGGCTACTTCTGTTCCTCCATCTTCTCTCATTCCTTTCAGCCTTTGCCCAAGAATGGAAGAAACTCTCTTCCCTTATCTGTTTAAGTTTCTTCTTTCCTTCTTTAAAGGTCCAACTCAAGCCACCACCTTCAAACTAATGAGAGGACTTCAGTTTTCACTGAAGCCTTCAGTGATCAGTCCAAATGAAAGTGACCTCATCCTCCAATTTTTGATAATATTTCTTGAACTCTCCTTTGTACTTACCACACTCTCTCTTTTATCTTTAATTTTTGTAGAGATCTTTCCCATTCCATTTAAGAACAAAAACACTCTTAAAGTAATTCTATTATGTTTATGTTTGTATTACCAGAAGTCAATACATTGTTTGAACTAGGAGAAATCTGAATTAAATGGAATAAAATGCTGAATGTATTTTTAACATCTCCCATAGAATCAGAAGCAGATTGTAAAATCAGAATCATGGATTGGTTAAAGCATTTGATTATCTTGGATAACTGTATATCATTTAGGAAAAAGAAATGAAGTATGCTTAAAACCAGAAGAATATCTCATAGCACCAAATTATCAGATACATGCAAAGGAGTAATTTATCTCCATCCATACCTTAAATTATTTGAGTAAATACATACAGAATATATGACAGAATATGATCCTTGAATAGACAACATGGTAGAAATACCACCGACTCTGAAAGTTCAAATCATTTCTCTGTTACATACTACCTATATAATCTTGGGCATATCATTTAACTTTCTTCGAGTTTAGTGTCCTCATCTGTAAAATAAGGACCGTACTAGATGACTTCTGAGGTTCCTTTCAGCTCTATATCTATCAGAATATAGCCTCATGAAGCTTATGAATAGAGGGATATGATTAACACAGGTAAATATAATATCATCTATTGTATGCTGAGAGCATCAAGAAAGTGATGCCCTTCATAGTGAAATGATATTTAAGCTACACTTTTATGCTTGAGTAGGAATTGAAGAGGAAGAACTAGGAGGTTCCAGGAATACAAAGATAGATAAGCATGCAACATATGTGAACAGAGTAATCCTGTCTGGCTTGAATGCAGTTTGTGGAAAGGAGTCAAAAAATAATGACAGTTCAGTAAAGTCAGCTAGCTAGGTGGCACAATGGATAGAGCAGGCCTAGAGTCACTAAAACATGAGTTCAAATGTGACGTCAAACACTTCCTTCCTGTATAACCCTGGGAAAGTCATTTAACATCTTATGCCTCAGTTTTTTCATTTGTAAAATGGGAATAATAATAGCACCTACATCCAGGTGTGAGGATCAAATGAGATAATAATTATACAGCACTTGGCACAGTGCCTGGCATACAGAAAGTTCTATAAAAATGTAAGCTATTATTATCATCATCTTCTTTCTGAATACTCAGAGGTCTTCTTCCTTAAGCTTATCATACGGAACAATCCAAGTACTGCTTTTAAATGGTTAGTTTTTAAAAACTGCTAACTTTCTGTATTTTACGTTGTGTGTATACAGAGAATAAGTTGCAGCAAATACAACAAAGCATAGTTCATATTTTAAAACTATATATACTTTGTACATCTAGGCATTTACTCAGTATAATGCAGATAATGATTCCTGAGATTATGCTAAAAATTTTTGTTAGAGCTTTTGAATCTTTCTATTTGCTAAAACATAACATTCTGGCTTTTCAGAACTATGTAACAAAAACCTGTAATTAGAAATGAGAAACTGAAAATTGATTCGGATCTGTTTTTTAAAAAAGCAAATGTTCTTGTTGCATTTCATTATTAAAAAACTGAATTTTTAATACATGAATCAGATACTAACATTATAAGGAACTGGAGGAAACATCTGGTTCAAAAATGAAAAGACAAGTTTCCTGAAACTTTTCAGAAACATGAATTAAAGACCTCTATAGTGAATACTAAAATAGATAACTACTTTGATTTTATTATTTAAAAATTTTTCACTTATGACAAAATATTAACATAACTTTTAGAGCTGTTTTTTAAAAAGATTATTCTATTGGACTATCTTAAAAATGTTTTAAGAATACATATAAACTATTTTTTTGAAATTCCCATATGCTAATAATTTCATCCATTAATCCAATTATTATTATTAACACCCTAAAAGTACACAAATACCTTTGGACAAAAGCGAAACATGTAAGGAAGAACTATGTACACATTCTTGGCAAAAACACATGCTCAGTTGATACTATAGGGCTATAACTAATGTGTGTCTCCAATCCAAAAATCCATGGTTTAACCAAAACTCTAAATTAATTTTAAAATTTTATCACTCATCCACTCAGTTTGATATGTCTTCCATTGAGACTGAGTGATTACATGTTTGGTTCTGGGCAAGTCATTTAATCTATCTGATCCTCAGTTTGTCTGTTAAATAAGCAACGGAATCATGGAACATTTAAGTTTCCTTCCAAGTACAAAATTCTGTGCCAATTGCAATGACATCTCAAGTACCAAAAACAGCAATATGCCCTACCTTATTTTCCAAATACTAACTAGAAAATGAGAAGATGAAATTTTACAAAAATGGAAAGAGTACTACATCACCTTCCTCCTTGAAACCCATGACTATCCAAAAGCTTCTCAGCATGCTAAGGGGCTTGTGGTAACTGGCTCTCTGCCTTTCAGCTCTACTCTAAGTGTTGTCTTCCCTAATTAGAATATAAGCTCCTTGACTGGCTTGCTTGCTAGTATACAATTTCTGCTCAAAGTTTGAAATCTTGGGGAGAGACACTTTTCCAAACTCCTGCGTTCTCTTTCTGAACTCTGTAGTCCAGCCAAATTGGCCTTCTCTGTTCATCACTTGTAGTACTTCATTTCTCTTATCTCCATGTCTTTGTACTGGCTGACTTCTGAAAGTAAAGCACTTTCTCCTCTTCACTTTAGCCTCCTTCAAGACTCAATTCAAGCACCAACTTGTACATGAAACCTTTACTGAATTTCCACAACTACAAGTGCCCTCTCCCTTTCTAACTATCTTGTGTTTACTCTGTATATACTTGTTATCATCCCTGATAGCACGTAAGCTTGGGAGAAGAGATTGTTTCCTTTTTATCTCCAACAACTAGCATGGTAACTGGCACACAGGAGGAACTGAATAAAATTTGTTGATTCATTGAATAAAAAATCCCTGAGTAAATAAGCAACAACAATAAAAATCCAGTTAAGGATAAATATGGAAGGATAATTGATTTTAAATTTTTCTACCATAGAAAAGCCATCAGCTTTTTCCTTTCACAGTGATCCCATTTTCTTTCCTCAAAGCCTCTACTCTACATTCTGTATCTCTCTAATCTGTTTGATAATAAGGGAATGATAATAAGGGAACTATAAATCAAGAGAAAAGAAATCTCTCGAAAATAGCCAAACCTGATTCTATAGAGCTCCTGCCCCAACTTTGGAGATATTTCAGTCAGTCCCTATAACATGAAGGCTAAATGGGAAGAATGCAATTAAAACAGGATTTCAATTCAGAAAGAAAAAAAACAAAAACAAAATTCCTATCAAAAGATACAAGGTTGTTAAGAAAGCTAAAATGATAATCAAGAGAGACAGAATTTGTAGGATTGGTTTTGTTTTTTACTGGTAGGTGAAATATCCTAAAACATAGACATTTTGATAGTCTTCTAATCCCGGTTGAACTCAAATATTAAAGTAACACACATGAGCTAAGAGAATTCAATATTGTTCCAAGGCACTTACTGAATCTCCATAACTAGATGAAAACTAGGACAAATTAGGATCGACAAACAGTATATAATATAAAAATAACCTTTTGCTTACAATTTACAAAATGTATTATTACAATCTTTTATCTCTGCTAACCTGTAATGCTGGCAGCATGTGTCCAGCAATTTTAAAATCAGAAACTATTTTCTAAAACATCAGGGCAAATAATTTACAAATAAAGTAGACAAAGATTTTAGATCATGCAGAGATTCCTTACATCTTCTGTTAATATCTTATGATTGCAACTTTTATCAAATTATATACCTACTTGCCCTGTACATTTACAAAATAATGCATACATGATAAAACATTAGCAAAAACGTAGTCCATAAACTCAATTTCTCATAAAAGTATTACTGTATTAACATGTCTACAAGCAGCGTGTAACAGGGTTAAGAGACATTAAGGCAATAATACTTGAAGTTACAAAATAAACCATATGTAATACTTTTTCCTAAGTGTACAATAAGGCAGAGTAGATGGTCCCAGTCCCGTCCCCCCCCCCAAAAAAAATATTAGAATGTAATACTGGAATCCACTGTTGCAAACTTTTAAATTTAAAATGGATGTACTATAAAAAGTGTATCCTTTGTAGGTAACAATCTACACTGCTCTCTTAGCAACCACCCCCACCCACAATAACCCAATCTTTTCTCTTTTTTTTTGGGGGGGGCAGTGAAATACTATAAATCTGGATTTCAGTGGCACTTGAATTTTCCAGTATAATTTCATGTGTCCTCTGTTCCCTTGCATCATGTCCATTCTGATGGTGGATCTCTTGGTCCTTTGGGTTTTCCACAACGATTACCAAAACCTGCAGTCAAAATACAGATAGAATGGCTTTCAGAGATCTTCACTGAAGCATATTATTTACAGCCATCTTACTCTGCAGATATCTTTACCTTTAGGAACACAATTTTCCATAAAGGAATTTTACATTAAAAAAAAAATCCTCAAACATTAAAAATTTGTTTGGCAAATTACAATTGTTTTATTCAATATCAGGAATAAAACCAATCCTGATACAACTTAAGAAAACAAACATATTTGATACTGCTTCAAAACTAAATGAAAACTGTTGAAACAGCACTTTGTACTTTAGTTTTTCATTCATTCTGATGTGGTATATTCATTTTAGTATACTTGCATTCAATTTATTCCTTGAGCAACTCAGCAAACACTCAGCTAGTATTCTATTAGAACTCATAAAACACTATGAAGTTTGATTCACTGCTGATTTTATCTTATGGAAATCCAAGAATTATGAGAGTTTGGCCTTCTGATATAACTATCTACTGCTTAGTTATAAATCTGGGGCAGTAACCAGTAGCAGGTAAAAACACCATATTGATTAATGGAATTATTACCAATATCTGTGGCTTCTGCTGGACTTTCTGAAACATGATCTTTGTTACTTAAAGTAGGGAGTAGACATTCTGTATTAGTCTCTGACTGATCACTCTCTATGAGATGATCTAAAAAAACAAAAAAATTTATTAGCTATAATCATTTGTAACATTGTGAATTTAAAGCTTTCATATAAACAATAAGGCAGATTATATTGTTGAAATACCCAGGTAAGCATAAGTATACCTTCAACAACACTAACAGTGTGTTTCTGAAAGTCATGTGAACACAAAATGAGCCAGTTGTATTAGCCTTATACTATAAGATTTTCCATTTTATAGTATAGGTTTTCATTTTTGAAATTTTTCTTAAAGTGGGGATGGGAATGCAACTATGGTACAACCATGGCAACATGGAGCAAATAAAATAGCTAAGTTTAACAAGAGTTTTAGGTTGCTGTAGCTGGAATGCTTAAACCCGTTATTTTGGGAGTATTTTCTTTGTAACCATTTTCTGTTCAGTTATTTTATGAAACAGTATGGTAGAATGGATAGAGCAGTGTATTAAAGTCTAAACACCTGGATTTATATTTCAGTTCTGTCTCTTACTACATGTGACCTTGGACAAGTTACAACTTTTATATAAATGGAGAGTATTTCTGAGGTCTTCTCCAACTCTAAATTTGTACTTAAAGGGATAGGAATAAGCCCTGGACCTGTGACTTCATTGACAGAAAGAACACCAATGAAAGTTAGCACCTTATCTTCAACTTAAGTCTTACACAGGATTAAGTGACTTAGTGGCATAGTCAGTTATGTATCAGAGGCACTTGAATCCAGGACCTCCTGGTTTCTAGTCCAACTTTCTATCCACTATGCTAAACATTTTCTTTAAACATTTAAGCACAATAGTTCATACCACCAAAAACAATTAAATATCTAGAGTTAGATAGGAAAAAAAACTATAAATATATTGGTCTGATGCTAAAGCTTGTGTTTTGCCTCCTACAGTTTGTGTTGAAATTGGTAATGAATAAATGAATGTTAGAGAATTAATATCCTAGGAGATGGTGTTATTCTTCCAGAGATAATTCTGGTTTTAGTTAGGGATAGGTTCTTGACTATCAAGTATATGAGAAGAGAGGATGAATACCTGGGATAACAGATGTGATTACTCTACTCTCTGGAATTATACTTAATGCAGAAGATCTTAGCTATTACAACTTAAAGTTGGGAATTTTAAAAATGTAAAACAATTTTACCTTTTAGAAAAATCAGCTTTTAGCAATATTATGTTAACTTTTTTCATCTTAAAAATGCATCCATAACGAACTAACATGCTAGTTTTTATACCTAAAAGGAAATATGTTAATTATGAGGACAACCCCAAAAAGGTCAATTTTAGCAAACTGAATAGTTACTAAAATGCACAATTTGAAAGCATAATTTTGTTATTAAGTTGCAATATCAAGCATTAAAATATTTGATTACAGTATGATTAACAATCATTTTTGGCATGACAGTGAAATTACAGTTAGACAGTTCAATGGTATTATAAATATGTAAAGTAAATAAATCAGGATGATGTGTAATGTATATTATGATGATTGACTTAATTATGACAAATTCATTTGACTGAGTTTTCTAATTTGATCCTGTAATATTGGTTTGAATTTCAGTTTTATAAATCTTGACTAAAATAAATGAAAAATTATGCTCTTAATTAAGGGATGGGTTTCTCATGATCAAAATATGTCAGGTGGGTTAATTCAGATCATTTTTTTCAAATAACTACCAACAGGGAACCAAATCCAGTTTGTATGCATATTTTAAAGAAAAACAGGAAAATTGTCTAACCTTCAGCCTAGTTCAATAATCTGATCTTGCAGCAATTACCTTAAACCCTTGAGTATACTAAAATGGCAAGAGAAAGACATAGGAAGGCCACAAAAAAAACTGCAGCATATAAAAACAATGAATTATGTGTAAGAAGTAGAATAAAATGATACTGTCAAAGAGATGTATGACCAGAAAAGGAGGTGGAGGACTACAAAGAGAAGATAGGGCCCAATATGTCAAGTAGATCTCCTGGAAGATTTATAGGAGGATATGGACAAGAGTTGCACCAAATAAGATGACCTGGATGGACTGAAAGTGAAGTGATGAAATCATGTCTCCATTGATAGTAAAATGTTAACTCAAATGTCTGAAAATGGAATTCAACATTTTTTTCATCAATGTGCAAAACAAAATGGAAAGAAAGCTTAATCACTTACCAAATGTTTTATTCTCAGTAGATATCAAGACCTGTCAAATAATTATTTGGAAACTTTTAACTTCTTATACACAAAAATAACAGAACAGAAAAATCAGGGGAAGTCATCTGTATGCATCTATGAAACTTTAAATATTTTTTATCTTATCACTCTCCAAGTGATACTGAAGAGAATAATAGTGCTACCAATGGAGTTTAAATAAAAAATCATGAAACATGCGATGCTATTTTCCGTATTTTAGTATGCACAGGCAACAGAGAATTTACCTTCCCTTTTCTTTCTTTTTTTTTGTTTGTTTTGTTTTGTTTTTTGGTGAGGCAACTGGGGTTAAGCGACTTGCCCAGAGTCACACAGCTAGTGAGTGTTATGTGTCTGAGGCCGGATTTGAACTCAGGTCTGCCTGACTCCAAGGCCAGTGCTCTAGTACCTTCCCTTTTCTCAACAGGATGTAGAAAGGCTGGTATCACTATCCCCCAAAAGCACACAGCAACTAGCTACCAATATATCCTAAAACTAGGCCTTTGGCTACATTTCCTGGAGGAGAAGAGAGGCCAGGCGAGGGACAAGGTGGTCTACAGGGGAAGAAATGTCCATATCAACTATTATTCACATCTTATAGTGATCAAATCTAATTTTTGATACTAGTACAGTGTGTGTAAAAGGTGAACTGCAATTATTTGTTATCTGTAATTCATGTTTGCCTTTTCATTTTTCACTTCAGGTAACAAATCATTGTACTCAGCTGAAAATTTAGAAACAAATTTTTTTTTTGTGGAGCTTGTTAAAAATATAGTGCTAACAATGCTAATTTATAAATTACAACCTACAGATCTATATTTAAGTAATGCCAAAAATCACCTCTAAAAACACAAATAAAAGGGCAAAACTTTCTAAGCTGATTCTTCTATTCCCAAAATGAAACTCTTACTTCAGATTTCTTTTGTTTAGACTGTTCTTCGGTGTGAAGTTCATTCCACTCAGCAGATCTTACAGGGGTATCTGAGAAAAATGGATTCTTATGATCAAAACTGAAATTCTTTAAACATGAAATTCCTTTACATTTCAGTAATATGTATAAAAACAGGCCATTTAATTAAATGTGTAAACTTTTCAAAATGCTGACTATAAGCTGCACATTTACTAAGTTTAAACAATTTCCAGTATATATTTAAATCTATGATAATATTTCTTAAACCAAATTAATTACTATAGCTAATAAACTCAACAATCCCTAAATTATAAGACAGGGAGCTGATCAAATAAAATATGTTTAGAATAAAACATTTTTTTTGCAAGCAGTGAAGGCACTAACTAGTCAGTCAATAAAATCAGTGAAATACTGGTGAAAAACAAGTTAGAATAAGTAAATTCTAGTAATTAAGGAAGCCGATAAAAATATGCAGTTGTACTGTAGGGGTGCCACTTTGCTTAGCTTAAGAGTAAATTAATAAGAAGCTTTAGAGTTTAAAGGACCCTGGAATTACATCATAATCAAAATAGTTTCTTTATGTTATGAGAACATAATAACAATGTCGTGCAACTTGGCAGTTTTGAAATTTCTAATGTCTTCGAGAATATTTATCTCTAAGAAGTAACTTACATATCTGATATGCCCAGTTATTACATCTCTCAAAATGAAAAACTCAAATTTAGCTGAATATAAAGTCATAAATCAAGCACACTATAGGAAAAAAAATGATATTACATTGAAGTTTAGTCTACCTTTGTTCTGGCAACTTCAGTGATTTTATAAATAAAAAAGACCAATGCCTATTGCCCTAAATAAAATTGTTTCACAGAAATACCACTTATGTTAGAAAAAAAATTTTAATCTAAAATTTACAATGTCAATAAAAATTTTGTTTTAAATTACAGCTTTTAAAGTATTTTTAAAATTCAGAGTTTAAATAATACATTGAGGAAATATCAATATATTAAGCGGAATATTTCATCAAAAACTAAAAAAAATATAATGTAGTATAAAAGAAACTCACTATGATCACTTGCTAATACAAAAGATTCAGGAGTTCTTTCAGGTAGTGGGGGAGGTGACTCTTCACTAACATCAACATCTAAATTAAATACACAAGATTAAGAATGAAATTAATTAGATGTCATTTAAACAGAGTGAAAACTTTCTTACATTCATTTCAATTACTGCATTATAGACTTAATAGCTTCTCAAAGAAAAAAAAAGTAAAACTGCAAAAATTGCATAATTGATTTATTCCTTAACACCTTTCTACCATCCATTCTGAGGAAGCCAAATACTACAACGAAAAATATGAACTGCATCTAAGAATGTATTTTTAACAAGACAACTCTCCCATAAATTTTCCCTGAAGCTCTAGAGCAGGGGTGGGGAACCTGTAGGTCCTCAAGTACAGTTCTTTGGCTGAATCCAAACTTAACAGAACAAATTTGTTCCCCACCCCTCCCCTACAGACAAGACCTAAAAGTATTCCCTTTGTACTAACTAGGACTGGCCCCCAGGATTCTCCTTAGTAAAGAAAATAGGCAACTTATTTGCTGGAATTTCAAAGGATATTAGAAAGGTTCCCTTATAAATTCTGCAATTAAAGTTTCATTCTTTAACTTAAGCCAAAAAGGTTTTTTTAATAACTAAATTTCAAGACATTTGTGAGGTAAAAAATTTATCAGTCATGTACACCTCAGTGTGAATTTTACCAATAACTTTTTCCACGAGGTTGATAGGGGTGAGGGGCCAAAAAACAAATAAGACCACTCAGAATAGGGGAAATAAAGAGAAGCAGAAGAAAAGAGAGGATAAGGCTAAGAAAATGAGAAGGTGTGTGTTGTGTTTTGTTTCCTCTTTCTGGTAGTTCCTCCTATTGTTTCTAATTTTTACTTACAACATCACTAATATGAAAATATGTTTAAAACCTGCTGGGAAAACTGGAAAAGAGTATGGCAGAAACTAGGCATAGACCCAAATCTCATACCCATATACCAAAATAAAGTCAAAATGGGTCCATGACTTAGATATAAAGGCTGATACCATAAGTAAACTGGGAGAACAAGGAATAGTTTACCTATCAGATCTATGGAGAACAGAAGAATTCATGACCAAACAGGAGATAGAGAATATTATGAAGAACAAAATGGATAATTTTGATTACATTAAATTGAAAAGTTTTTGCACAAACAAAGCCAGTGCAACTAAGATTAGAAGGAAGGTAGAAAATTGGGAAAGAATTTTTACAACCAGTCTCTCTGATAAAGGCCTCATTTCTAAAATATATAGAGAATTAAGACAAATCTATAAGAACACAAGCCATTCCCCAATTGGTAAATGGTCAAAGGATATGAACAGACAGTTCTCAGATGAAGAAATTAAAGCCATCTATAGTCATATGAAAAAATGCTCTAAATCATTATTGATTAGAGAAATGCAAATCAAAACAATTCTGAGGTACCACATCATACCCATCAGATTGGCCAACATGACAAAACAGGAAAATGATAAATGTTGGAGAGGATGTGGGAAAATTGGAATGCTAATACATTGTTGGTGGAGTTGTGAAATGATCCAACCATTTTGGAGAACAATTTGGAACTATGCCCAAAGGGCTACAAAAATATGCATACCCTTTTGATCCAGCAATAGCACTTCTAGGGCTATATCCCAAAGAGATCAAACAAATGGGAAAAGGACCCACATGTACAAAAATATTCATAGCAGCTCTTTTTGTGGTGGCAAAGAATTGGAAATTGAGAGGATGCCCATCCACTGGGGAATGGCTGAGCAAGTTGTGGTATATGAATGTAATGGAATACTATTGTGCTATAAGAAATGATGAACAGGCTGACTTCAGAAAAACCTGGGAAGACTTATATGGTCTGATGCTGAGTGAAGTAAGCAGAACCAAGAGGGCTTTGTACACAATAGCAGCCATGTTATGCAATGACTAAGAATGTTAAACTGAACCCTTCTCAGCATTACAAGGATCTAAGACATCTCCAGAGGCCTCAGGATGGAAAATGCTGTCCACATCCAATGAAAGAACTATGGAAGTCGAATTGCTCTCACTTATTTTTACCTTCTGTTGAGTTTTGTTTCATCTTTCTGATCGTTCCTCCTATTGGTTTTAATTTTTACTTACAACTTCACTAATGTGAAAATATGTTTAAAGGGTATGTAAATGTAAAGCCTATGTCAGATTGTGCGCCGTCGGGGGGGGGGGAATTTTCAACTCAAAAGCATATGGAAGTGATTGTTGATAATTCAAAATAAATTCATTAAATTTTTTAAAAAGTAAAAAAAAACTTAATAAAAACAAATCACTCTTTAAAAAAAAAAAAAGGAAGAAAGTGAGAAGCTGAAGGACCAAGTTATTTTGCCTTGGACTGACCCTGACTGTTCTTATATGGATGAAAACACATACCCCAGCAGCTCAGTAAGAGATGTCACCAAATATAGTGGAGATTCACTGATACTCCTACTGGACTTAACTCCCTATTATAAGTAATCCAGATATATGCATGACAGAAAGAAAGCAAATGTTACTCTTCCCATTCTAAGACCTTGGTTCTAAGACAGAAAAATAGAGGAACAGGCTCACCACCAGCAGGTTATTCAAAGAGGTTTTTTTTTGTTCTTTTGTCTACAAAGGCAACTGTAATAACCTGCCATGATTTTGTTTTTTCTAGTAGTAGTGATGGTGTACACCAGTGGTGTCAAACTCAAGCAGGCTGGTACAATAGGATCCCTAAGTCTGCAAACTGACTTCAAAAAACACATATATTAACATTATGTTTTAATATATTTTTATTTGTTTTCTTAAATTATTTCCCAATTACATTTTAATCTGGTCCCAGTCCTACTAAGGAGTAATGTGGGCTGTGTTTTTGCTACTTTTGGTTTACACTAAGCTATCTACACACACACACTCTGGGAAGACCAGATGGAGTCACAAGATCTAGGTCCAAATCCTGCATCTCACACAATTTATTTATCCTTGAGTGGGTCACTTAGCTTCTCTCTGTTCAGTTTCACCTATAAAAACCTGGAATAATTGGGTTTTGGTGTTCCTTCCTGCTTTAGATCTAAAATCCTGACTGGCTCTGTGACCAACAAGTTACATTTGGAAGATAACCAGGATTTGACGGGACAGCCTCTGGCTGTATAACCAAGATCTTTATATCAATAGTATGTATTGTAGTCAAATAAGATGGACTCCCCATCAGTTATACTGCACATAGATTCTATAAGCTATCTTCCTAGAAACTTACTCTTTTGACATCCTTTGCTCTTAATATAACCCAAAATTTAATTTAGATTCTTTATCAACATTCCCCTAAGAGAAAAATTAAGATTTGTCAGTTAACAGTTTGTACAATCTCCACATGCATTTTCAAATAATATTCAATGTCATCCACTACAGTGCGGCTTTGAGAAAATCTGACTAGAATCGCTATTCTCAATTAATACAAAAATTAATATAAATATTTCCCAAAGACAATTAGCATTTAAATCACGCAATGATTTTAATAAAAAACTTGGATCTCTAGGGCTATTGATCAGACAAGTCTCTCATAAAAAAGGATCCTTTAGATTGCCACTATGTCAAAGGTAGATAATAGTAATGATGATAACAACATTTACATATAAATAAGGTTGTATAGATCTAAGGTTTGCAAAAGGCTTTAAATTTTATCTTATTTTATCCTTACAACAACTCTGAGAGGTAGATGCTATTATTACCCTTATTTTATAAATGAGCAAACGGAGGTAGATAGAGGGTAAATGATTTGCCCACAGTCAAATAGCTAGCAAGTGAACTCAGGACTCCCTAACAATCCATGTCCAGTGTTCTATCCACTACCTTGTCCACTGAGAAGATGTATGTAAAGTTTCTGAAGGGAAACATTTTATAATTCAATCAACAGCTCATCCAAGGCAATAAAAATATAATAAGCAACAGAGTAAGTTAACGTTACCAACTGTTGAGTGCTTTTTTGAACTCAAAATATGTTGTGGATAAAAGCTTTGCTAATGTCAAGCTTACTTAGTGGCCCATTTTCATCTAGTTAAAAGAGTAAAAATAACATAAACATTAGAAAATACTGGTCAAAAGCAAAACAACAGGGCTTAAGAAACATGTGATTTCATCCATCCTTTTAGAGTAAAAATTATTCAAAGACAATCCACTCCTTAAATGATATTGTGGGTAACAACAATTCTTCCATGAATTATCCTTCCCAAATCCTTTTTTGCAAACAAGGGCAAAAATATGAGTGAAATAATTCCCCAAGCATAAAACACAAAAATATGTTAGCCAGCCTGATATAAACATACTATGCAGTCAGTTTGGGAATTATTTTTCCAAGATCTAGTAGATGAGAAGAGGAAGGTATTTAAAATATGAAATGTTATTAAGTTAATAACATAGCAACTGTCATTAACTGCTTTCTATAGACAATAAAAATTTTAAACAACACAAGAATTCCAACAAAAACCAAAATTTTCAAGACACAACAGTAACTCAAGACAACTTGAGCCAACCCTGGTGCCCAAATCTCCTACTGAGGGAATATCATCCATGTTTGGAAAATAAAAGCACCATTTAAACTATCTTTGTGTATGTACATGTTTTTGTGTGTGCATTAAAATTTTAAATTATTTTAAACAATATGTTTTTATTTCCTAAAATTTTTCAAACGTGTATACAAACATAGTATGCACCCCCACACATGTATAATATACACACAATTACTATGTACCTGAAAACATAAAGAAAAAAAAATCAAACAGGTATATGTTTTTTATGACATTTGTACATGTTTTCATATGTGTGTAACACTGCTTAGTTACTGGTAAAATATGGACAGTGGCCAAACGGTCAATAAATTACTTGTTTTCACTTTCCTTTTCTGTTTCATAGAGGTAACCATTACCTCTATTACCGTTTACTGCATTAAAAGGGGTATTTTAAAAAGAACCGATTATTATTTTTCCTCAAACATTATTTTAATGAAGGTGACAGTCACTAAAAAAGACAAATGATCATTAAATTGTCAAGAGAAGTGCCAAACATAGGCATAATTATATGTGTGTGCATGTGTGTGCGTCATGTACATACACACATGTACATATGGGAATATAACTACATACATTAGACCAACGAATGTACGCTTCATTTCCCCAAAAATCTGGCTTATGAAGAACCTTAGTTCTTTAGGCTAAAAACTGGTGTAAGTTTCAGCATATTCTGTTTTATTTTTAAATAAAATTTCACTTCACTAAGAGTCTTAACTAGAAAGCTCTACGATTGTCTGTTCCAATATGGTCTATATCATTACCCTTCAGATTATATGTGGTTGCTACAACTGACAAGCATCACTAGCTCTATGTGCATGAATAGACAAATGTGACATATTCCAGTTTAACTAGTTACAAAGCCCAGAGATGCTGAAAATGCTTCTTCTTGGTTTTAACTCAAAGCTGAAAGATTTGGTATTAGCTTATAACATTCCTACTGTTAAATTCTGTTAACAGTAAAAAAGGAATCTGAGAAGTTATTCATCAATATAAAAAATGAATATTCATTAGGAACAGTGGTGATATAGAGAGTTAAGTTATTCCAGGCAGTGGGTTTCAATAGTATTTTGAATTGCAATTTTCCCTCCCCACAATATTTTTGGCTATGATATAATTTTGTTATCTGCCATCATTTGTGACTTACACAAATCTAACAACCAAAATTCATTTTCAAACCTAAGTGCTAAAAATTTTGTGATTTAGGTTATGAAATTTAGAAAAAAAAATATTTTAAAAAACTTACAGGTCTATTATTGTTACATCATACTTTGAGATCTGTTGGGTGAAGCTGAATAAAACCTACCTTTTTCAGCCCCTGAATATATTGTAACTGGTACATCATGTCTAGCAATAGACATTGGTAATACTTTTCTAGTAGAAATGTTTTCAGTGCTAGTGGCAGTAGAAACTGTAGCACTTGCTGTTGAAATATTAGTCACATTCTTACGCATGGCTCCATCACAGTTCCCTTCATCACTGTCAGAATCATCAGAGTGAAGAGGGTTAGTAAAACTGAGGGGTGCTCTAACTAAAGGTGTATTACTATCATTATCCACAAGATTGCTGGCTTCTACATGTAACGTGGGACTTGGTGTTAAAGAAATCGTTTTAGTAGCCTGACATTGGTTATCTGAGGCTTTGCTCTCAGACTCATTGGGGATAGGCAGTGCATTTTCAGGACCATGTAATGGCCATATAACATGTCCTTTCTCTTTAAGAGGCAAACAATCTGGTCTTGGTGGTGTATCAAAACTTTTCTGCATTCCTTCTTGTGTAGTTATTGAAACTTTGCTAGATGGTGATATACCACAGTCCACACAAGAGTTTTGAGAAACATCTTCAGTTAAATCCCCTGAACTCGGTTCCTGTGACTTCAAGAGTTTCTCGGCTGTACAAGGTGATACAGATTTAATCTTAATTGCATGTCCTCTATTCAAGAGTGTATTTCCATCAAAACTTTTTGGTCCTTCCTGTAGGGGAACCTTTTTAATTTCAAAACTCAAGTTTCGTTCCAGTTTCTTCTCCATATGTTCAACTACTGATTCATTCTTCCCTGGAAGTTCTGTTGATTTATTATAATTTTTATTGAGGTCTGTTGACTGCTGTTCTGATGAAACTATATGCAACACAGGCTTTGGATGGTATCTATCATTGTCTTGCCATACTGTAGTAACTGTTGGATAGGCTGAAGGAGGAGAAGGTGTCAAGATGGGTGGTACAGGGTGAGGTTCTGGAGGCTGTAGTATTTCTTCCTTAGCATCCCCTTCAACAAGACAACTGAGGAAAAAAATAGGTGATATTAAATTTCTCAAATATGAGTGTGAAATCTGTAATGATATAATTGTATAATGATAGTAACTTATATTCGCATAGTAGCACTTTGAGTTCATAACATGGCTTTCACAGTCGTCATATCTCATTTGATTCCTACAACTGATCTGGTTAAGATGTGGTATTACATGTATTATTTTTTTCCATTTTCCAGAAAAAGAAACATGTTAAGCCATAAAGCTTTTAAGTGACATAACTGAAATCTGAACCTAAGTTGTCTGTCCCAAAGGTCAATCAATGCTCTTTCTAAAACATAATTCCAACAGCTAGCACACACTTTCTCTCTCTCATTCACACACAAGCACATATACATTCTCGGTCCCTTTCCTTTCCTCCCCTCCCTCCCTCTCTTCCTTTCTCCCCTTCTATTCTAACACCTTCACTTGATTCTCACATCACCTCAACCTGTCTTCTATGCCTCTTTAATGCCTAGAAAACCTTATCTATACTCCCTGCCTCTATGGTCTCCTTTCCTTACTTCTGTATGCCTTGTAATTCCCCTAAACACTTCCCCTCCCTCTTCTACCTTCTCTATTACTATAGAGGGCAATACTATCCTCTTGGTCCCTCAGGTTCACAACCTAGGTGTTGTCTGAGACTCCTCACTATTTATCATCCCCCATATGGAAGCTGCTGCCAAGACTATTAATTTCACCTTTGCAACATCTCTCATATATGCTATCTTCTCTCCTCTGCTGGCCCTCATCACCTCATGCCTGGATTACTGTAATAGCCACTGGTAGACATCTGTCTAACTGAAAGCTCTCCCTGCTCCAATTCATCCTCCATTCAGCCACTAAACTAATTTTCCTAAAATACAAATCATGTCACCTCCATACTCAATAAACTCCAGTGGCTTCCTAATGCAATGCCTCAAGGTTCAAACACAAAATCCTCTTTAACACTCAAAGCCCTATAACTTAGCCCCCTCTTACCTTTCCAGTCTTCTTACACCTTACTCCCCAATATGTACTCTTCAATCCAATAACACTGGCCTCCTGGCTGTTTCATGATTAAAACATTCCATCTCTTAGCTTTGGGCATATTCTCTGGCTGTCCCCCCCCCATGCCTATAACACCCTCATCCTCCACTCTGCCTAGTGACCCTCTCTGATTTTCTTTAAGACCCTATGGAGGGAGGCAGAGGCAGAGGCAAGATGGCAGGGAAAAAGCAGCCACTTGCTTGAGCTCTCCCCAAAACCCTTCTGAACACCTTTAAATAATGCCATAAGACAATTCCAAGAGCAGCAGAATTCACAAAAGGATGGGGTGAAATAATTTTCCAGCTAAAGACAATTTAGAAGATCTGCAGTAAAGGCTTATCACACCTGGGTGACAGTGGAGCACAATCCAGGACAGGCAATGCCAGTACAGACCCAGCCTCAGCAAACCAGGTGCAGGCCTTGGGAGGCACTTAATCAGCAGCAGCATCACCTGCTTCTGGAGCTCTCAGCCCAAAGACAGTAAGGGGTTCAAAGGAAGTTATGGGGATCTCTTTGTAAGCAAGGGGGCAGGACTCTGTTGCATGGCCCATACTCAGATCTGGGTCACAGTCCTGGGTGGCCATCTCAAGGAAAGGAGGAACATTAGCATACCAGAGCACAGAACAGGAGAGTAGTAAACACACCTCTTCTTAGATCATACCAACTTGGAAGAACTGAAAACTTACAAGTCCCAGAAGTATCTCTGAAAATAGCTGCACAAAACCCTCAAGCTTGGGATACTGCACACCCTCCACCTGAAAGGACAGCCCTACTTTAACAAAGAGTTAAAAGTCAAGTAACAGGCTGGGAAAATGAATAAAAAACAAATTCTAACCATAGAAAGTTACTATGGTGACAAGTAAGATCAAAACACACACTCAGAAGAAGATAAAGTCAAAGTCCCTACATCCAAAGCCTCCAAGAAAAAAAATATGAATTGGTTTCAGGCCATGAAGAGCTCAAAAAGGATTCTGAAAACCAAGTAAGAGAGGCCGAGGAAAAACTGTAAAAGAAAATTAAGAATGATGCAAGAAAATCACAGAAAAACAAGTCAACAGCTTGGTAAAGGAGACACAAAAAAAAGTGAAGAAAATAACACCTTAAAAGTAGAAGTGGCCAAATAGAAAAAAGAGACAAAATATTCACTGAAGATATCTCCAAAAGTCTCATGATGGAAAATGCTATCCACATCCAAATCGAAGCATACTATTTGCTATTTTTTCCCTTCTGTTTTGTTTTGTTTCCTCTTCCTGGTGGTTCCTCCTATTGGTTCTAATTCTTACTTACAACATCACTAATGTGAAAATATGTTTAACAGAAATTTATATGTATAGCCCATATCAGATTGCTCACCATCTTGGGGAGGAAGGAAGAGAAAAATTTAAAACTGAAAAGCTTCTGGAAGTGATTGGTGATAAGTCCAAATAAATTAATAAAAAAAGAAAAAGAAAACTATATATAAACATATCCAAAACAGAACTTTGCTCTGAAAATCTCGACTCTTCTTAATTTTCTTATTTTCTATGGAGGACACCACTATCCTTCAAGTTATTTGTGTTCACAACCCAAGAATCATACTTGACTCTTCTCCTTCACCCTGTCATATTGAATCAATTAACAAGTCTTGCTAATTCTAACTTTATCTCTCTTCTTCTCCATTTTCCCCATGGCTACCCATCTAGTTCAGGTCATCACTGCAATAGTATTCCTGACCCAGAGAGTCTCCTGCCTTTCCAATTCCACCTTTCACACAGCTACCAAACTGATATTTCTAAAGCACAACTCTGACCATGACATTCCCCTGCTCCTCCAAGGACAAGATACCAACTTCTCTATCGGGAATTTATTACATTCTGGCTAAATCAGCCTACTTGCTGTTCTTTGACACTGATATTCCATATTCTCGTGTTTCTATGCCTTTGTAGAGAATGTCCCCCACGCTTGGAACATACTCATCTCTGCCTCAGAATCCACAGTTTCCCTCAAGACTCATTTCCTGTACTTTCAGATTCCTCCAGCAGTGAACACCCCATCACTTTGTATATATTTTATATTTGTTTTCATGTGTACAGGTTGTTCCCTTCTCCCCCAACGAAAGTAAGCTCCTAAGGGGAAGGGCTCTTTTATTGTTGTCTGTGTCTCCATAGAACCCTGAAGAGCTCCAATCCTAGTAGATGCTTGTTGATTTACTGATCTACCATGTTTATTAAGTTTATTTTGGGGTTCAGAGGAGATAGAAGCAGAATATGTGAAAAGAAAATATTAAATGTAAAATATTCTTTAAAAAAATAATCTGTACACAAATTTGTGCTTTCGTAAATAATTATTTTCCTTTTGCTCATATTTGATGTTTGTCGAGTACAGAATTACAAAATAAAATGTGGGAAAAAAATTATTTTTCATCGCCCAAATTTTGAGTGGCAATTTCAAACCAAAAAGCTGGGTTTTTTTATGCTTTTCTTTCTTAATTTTTGATCTGATAAGTACAATTTAAAACCTTTATTCTTTTGTCACTTTCAATGCGTAATAATGTTTTCATTTGATCTAATATGTCCAATATCCAACTATGACATATAGAATCATCAGGAAAGCATTCATCCACTCCAAATATTTCTTTCTTCAGTTTTTCCATGCTCTAAAGAATGGCATTAGGAAGAAGATACCGTTCAAAGTTTATAAATATGGACAGGCTGAAGACCTTAAATTCAAAAGCTCCTCTTTCTACAGAAGAAAATAATTCAATACTTTTTTTTTCATTTCCAAGATTATTTTTAAGTACTAAATTGAAATAATATTAAAGAAATTAGAAGGAAAAACATCTACTTTACAATATTAAAGATAAGTAAGACTGTTTTAGAGAATGCTTATATTTTTATTCCACATAAGCACACACACACACCCTCTCAAGCTCAGTCATCCCACAATATGGTAAAATATTAATTTACTGCAGAAGTTACCTGACCTCAGTCCAGACAAAACATTGAGACTGTTCGTTAAGAGAATGACCTATATGTTTTTATAGGATTGATTATTTAAAAAAACCAACAAAACAGGTATTGTTTTGTTTACTAAATTCTCAGAACTTCTTGACAGGTCCCATTCTTTCCTTTCTCCCACTCTGTGTCAAAGAGGTGGTCTACCCTTGTACTTGATCCCATCCCCTCCCGTCTTCTCCAACAGACTGCATCTTCAATCATCCTCATCCCCTCTATCTTTTAAATCTTCAACTTTATCTTCTCTACTAGTTCCTTCCTTATGGTCTTCAAACATGGTTAAGTCTCCCTCAAACCTAAAAAAACAAACAAGCAAACAAAAAAACTTCACCTGACCCTAACTTCCTTCCCTTCAAGTTAATATCCTATCTCCTCCTTTCTCAGTCAAACCCCTTGAAAGAGCTGTCCATTCTCACTGCTAATTTCCATCCTCTCCTTAACTGTTTTCTAATCTGGCTTCCAATTTCATTCACCTGAAACTACTCTTTCCAAAATCTATGATCTCTTAATTGCCAAATCTGATAGTCTTTTTGCAGTTCTCCTCCTTCTTGACCTACATGCTACATTTGACACTGCTCACAACCTTCTAATCTTGGATTTCTCCTTCCTGGGTTTTAACTATGTTCTTCTGGTTTGCTTCCAATCTGTCTTATTACTCTTGCCCAGCAGTCTTTTTGCTGGCTAATCACTCAAATCATATCCCTGTGAGTATTCTCAATACTCTATCTCAGCCCCTTTTATTTCCTTCTGTTTACACTGTATCTGGTAACCAAATCAGCTTTCATATCTATCAACTCTGTGATGGCACTCAAAGACCTATTTATCCATCCCCAGTCTCTACCCTGACCTGCAAACCTGTATCACAAATTTTTGAAAATTAATTTTTAAAATTCAAATCTATTTTCTCTCCCTCCTTATCTGAAAAAAGGAGAGCAAAACCTTTGTAATGATTATGCATACTTAAGCAAAACAAATTCCCAGATTGGCCAAGTCCAAAATATATATGAGTCTTTCTGCATCTTGAGTCCACACACTTTCCATCAGGACCACATCACCAACTGCCTACTGGATATTTCAAACTGGATGTCCTGAAGACATCTTAAACTCAACATGTCTAAAACTAAATAACATTATCTTTCACTCAAATGCTCCGGTCTCCCAAATTTCCCTATTTCTGTAGAGGGGGCACTACCATCTTTCCAGTCCCATATCTTCAACTCTTTTCTCCTTTGAATATACATCCAACTCAGTTGCCAAATCCTACTTCATAGCATCTTTTGCATCTGATCCCTCCTCTCCATTTACAGCTAGCACTTTAATCTAGTTCCTTATCATCTATTGCCTAGAATTATTTCAATAGCCTCTTAATTTGTCTCCCTACTTCAAGTGTCTCAGCACTCCAATACATCTATATACTACCGCCAAAGCATTTTCCTTATGCAGAGAAATCATCATGTGACTCCCTCTCCTACTCAATCAATGCCAGTGGATTCCTATTGTGTCTAAGATAAAATATACATTTTTATCGACATCTATTGTTTATACATAGTCTTAAACTTGATTTTTGCCCTGCTCCAACTTATCTTTGCAGTCTCAATGAACATTATTACACTCCCCTCCAGTTCTCTGATCCAGAAAAACTGGCCTTCACTCCTGCTCATTCCAGATATGTCTCCATGCCTTTTTACTGGCTGTCCCACATGATTACAATGCAATTCTTCCTCACAGAATTCTGCTCTTCTGTATGAATCCCTTCCTGATCAAAAAACTACTTGTATTTAACTATTTTGTACATATTTGTATTTATTCACTTCATACTGTATTTATTCACTTTATATCTATTTTTATATGTACTTACATCTCTTTCTCATTAGAATGTAAATTTCTTGCCAGGAGGGACACTTATACTTTTTCTATTTGTATCTGCAGTGCTTAGAACAATGCCTGGACCCACAGCACTTACCACTTGTATATTAATGTTAGATCCCTGACCAGTAGCCAATAAATGGGCACATTAGGGAGCATTCTGGCATTTTTCTATATATGAAATGATAAAGCAAAAAGGAAGCTGCAGTTATATGAAATGGTTGCTCCTACTTGAGAGATGCAATAAAGGATTTGGCAGAATTGGGTCTTGTTTTGGATCCAAAGGCAACAAACACTGGCTTCATGGGAGACTGATCCACTCACGATGAACATTAGCAAAAAGAATAGTAGTAGTAACAGCAAATTTGTCCATCAGCTGGATATGCAGTGAGGGAAAATGAGAAATAACTCAGATAACTGCTGCTGTATACCACTGATATCTTCAACATACCAGCTGCACGTCCCAGCTTATCTAATTATTATCTAATTTAATAAAAACGCCACTGACAAATAAACCAGTAAAAATGGCCAAGGGCTGCTCCACTTGGGACCTCTCTCCAAGCTGACACCGATCCATGACTACCTACCCTAATTCCATCCATTAAACCAATTCCAAACTCACTTAACAAGCACACATCTTAAATTTTGTTTAAGGACAGGAAAAGTTTTGTCAAATGCTTTGCTGAAATCTAGGTATGATATATATCAAAGATATTCTCCAGACTTAGCAATAGAGTAACCCTATTAAAAAAGGAAATCAGTCCTATGACTAGTTCTTGCATTTTCATTTTAAACTTCTTGAAGATAATTTTAAAATGCCAATTCTCTAGTTAGATCACCCGTATCTTTCCACCAAAAAGAATTTTTAAAGTAGCAGTATATAACTTTGTGTAAATAATTTTCTTTGAAATACAAGTACTTCTCTATTTAAAATAGAGGGAAAATGGTGTTATAAAACAGAAGATTTATTCAATGACCTAAGCTTAAAATTAAAATGTCTATCAGAGGCTACAGGCTAACAAGAAGAATCATAGTAAAGTATTTTTATTTTGTGGTTAAAATGTGTAACAACTTTTTTATTAAAATCCATAAATCTATGAATGATAAAACCATATATGCTACCAAATAATTCCTCCAACCCAAAAAGGAAAATACAATGTATGGTACCTGCGGGTACGCGGAGGTTTCGGGGGAGGAGAATCTGGTTTTTCAAGGTTCAGAGAGCTGACAATCTTTTCTGTGCTAATTTCATCCTGCCAAAAGGAAAATAAAACAATTTAGTCTCAATTTTACTAGGCTTCTGCGTATACACCGCACAAAACAAGTCAATCATTCCAGATAACAGAACTGGTCTTTGTAAAGACCCTGACGGTCAATTACATTTAGAATGGCAAATAACTGAATTCCAGCACTATTAATTACAGCACCAAAACATATACCAATTATTTAAGTTCAAGTAAATCTTAAATCATTTAAACAAGGCAACAGTGTCTTTGTTCTCTAATGTCCCTTTTAGTATTAACACTGTGAGTCAATGAATTAAGAAATGCAACATCAAAGACAACTTTTGAAAAAGAAAAGGTTCCTACACACTTTCTCTACAGCTCACCACTACTACAGACATATTTCTGCTTAGGCCAATTTTTCCAAATTGGAATATGTGACTTGGTGGTGTGGGGAGATACCAGTGAACAATGCAAAGAAAAAAATTAATGGATATTTCCAAGTATAACTACTATATAAAATATTTCCTCTCCCCCGACCCCTTTCCAAAAACATTTCTAGTAAGTTGATAAAAGCAAAAGTAACAGTGAATTTGCTCCAAATGGTGAGGTTGACAGAATGGGAGTGTGTCTAGCACCATTTAGGAGTGGACAGGGAATGAACTACTAACACAACTCTGTCTTTCTACCTTTAATGAGTGACTGCTAGGTAAAAGGAAATATGTAGGAACTGCCCACTCAAAGGGAGAAACTACATACTTATAGAACCCCCAAACTAATCACATTCCCAGCAGTGTGCCCACTAGGTCCCTTTCTTCTAATGGGAGAGGACAACTCAGGTTTCCATCTCCCTTTCTCTCAAACCCAATGCCCTTTCTCTTCTAGCCTTTGGCTCTGTCATTTGTGGCTAGTAGCTAATGCGCCCTATGGTGTTCACTGGATAGACAAGGGTGTTTTAGACTTAGTGATTATTTGGGAATGGTAGGAAAGCAAAATTCCAAGCTGGACTTCGAGTCATAAAGCTGGTAAGCTTGTTTGCATTCACCAGTATGGGGACACTAAGAAGGAGTTCTATGTTTTAAAGGTTTCCAATATTAATTCTTAAGGACATTAACATATGTAGGGTTATGACCTTTTGCCTTTAGGATTCAATTGTTATTTGTTCTTTATCTTTATAATGTATGATTCTTTACCTTTACTTTTTCAAAAGTTTTTGGTTTGCTACAATTTAAGGAAGGGAACCACTATGTAATTTGCTGTTCCATCTGTTTTATCTTTAAATCTTGTATAATTTTCAGTATGCAAAGGAGAGATACCTGCTGAGACATTTAAGGCTCCATCAATTCAACAGTCACCACAGTGGGGTTCTGTGTTCTCTATTTCAGTCAAATGTGGTGGTAAAGATGTGGTCTATCATGGAATATTTCTTATAAAGAACTGTCCCCTTCAATATTAAAATGTGTGTTATTGATGTATGTATAATTTCTCCTTAAAATGTTATAAGATTAGAAAATAGTATTCTTGGTCAATGATTATTAAAATTCTTCTGGATGCCCTTTTTTGGGCAACGGCACCTGAGGTTTTTCCTATAACTGTGTTGTCTTCCCCTCTACCAAATATCTTGAAAATTAATTCCTGAATACTTTCAAAATTTTGTCATATCTAGTATGGACTATTGCAGTATACAACTGACCCAATCTATTCACTTTTTTCATCTTTTTCCCCCCAATGCTATCACCACTTTATCAAGAATGCACATCAAAGACTCTGAAAATGGATACTGGGTCCAAATGTTGTGGCTTCACTGTTCTTGATGGTAAACAGTTACAAAAACATTTACATTTTTTTCCTTATCTGTTATTCATGTGGCAGGCCTGCAAAATGCTTAATGACAATTATCACTTGTTTCTTCAAATGACCTTTAACATGGAATAACCTTAACTCCTCACCATCCTTGCTTCATTCCTTTGCACAGTGCCCACCTTATCAATGTACTTTTCAAAAATGTGGCATCTACAGCTGAATACAATATATATTACAATATATACATGGTCTGAGAAGGGCTAAGTACAAGATGACTATTATATGACTCCTTATTTCTCTCAATGCAGCCCAAGACTGTTAACTTTCCTTGTGATGTCATACCACTGACTCATAATGAATTTTCAATCCACTAAAATCCACAGATCCTTTTCAGATGATTGCTTTCCAGTCATACCTCCTCCACCTGATATTTGTTTGGTTCACTTTTAAAACCCTAGTTTAAGAATTTATATGCATATTTCATTTTATTACATCTAGCAGGATCTCACCTCTGTCATACACTTTTAAATACATCAGTGATTGTAAAAATGTCATTTGTGAAAGTCTACTTCCGTTTCCATATTTTCATCAAGACAACCTCAATAATTAGGTGATATAAATCATCTAATTATCATAATTCTCATGAAAATATTACATAGAAATGGAAAGTATGCATGTGAATTAGCAATTATCAGTATTTTTTCAGCTGCTGAGGCATTTTTAGTATTCATACTAGACATACATTTTAGGGATCTTTCCTTCTTTGAAATATCTTAAAAATCATCTTCCAAGACAACTTGTGTTGTCATCAATGATGAGAAAAGATTGTTCTAACAAATGATGGTAGATCTATTCCACTTTACTTCCTGTTTTCTACTTTCATTTTCATCTACAATGCTTTGTGGATAATTCAGCTTACTCTAGTCTAATATCAAGATTACCACAAGTTCTTTCCAATTCATCACTATTTCTTGTTTTATGAAACAATGCTGCTAATAATCACCTCTTGTCTTCCTCTACAATGGCATGCAAACGAGCTTATACCAACAAATGACAATGCCCTTGGCTGCCCAGCAGGGTACATGAGTATTTGCTGGCTGAAGCCTGGGTGGTTCAACCTATAAAGGAACTCTCAATTCTGGTTTGAGTTTTTTTCAGGTCTTCCAACTTTAAATCATGAGCTGCTGTCTTCTCTGTTGTATAGGGCAGTTAAATAGATCTTTGATTTTAGTTTGTGGCCTTCAACTTCAATCTTTTCAAGTATGCATTTCCAATATAATATCTTTAGGTAAGTGACAGGGAAGGGGAGAAGAATGTGGCCTAGGGGATAGAGCCGGTCTCAATACCCATCTTCTCCTTCTCCCTGAGAGCAATCCCATATAACAACATGTTTTGCATGATTTCACATCTATAATTGATAGCATATTGCTTGCCTTCTCATTGGATGGGAGTAGGGAAATTTGGAACTCAAAATATAAACAGAAAAGAATGCTTAAAATAAATAAGTGATTTTTAAAAAGAAATATTTTTAAAGAAAAAATAGGGAGAGCAAAAATCAACAAAAATTATCAGTATATTGAAAAAGACTAAAAATACATACAGTATACTTCTATTTCTCTTTATGAGAAAAAGTGCCAGGTAAGCTGTAAATAGGAATTTATTCTGAAAATTCATTCTCAGGATTTGTCACAGGATCAGTACATGTTTGAAAAGAATTACCCACAAGTGTTCCACTTCCTTCCTGAAGTTTTCCTTTTTCAGTTTCTGAAAAACATTGACTGTTGTGGTATAAGATACCAACCCACTTAATAGTCAGGCAACTCAGGTTTTGTTTTGGTTTTTTATCCTGATTCTATTATGACTAGCTCAGTGATGTTACAGAAATTACCTCTTCTCTAAGTCTCAATTTCCTCATTCATAACAAATAAATAAACTGGTAAATTACTAAGAAAAAAAGAAAAGGAGGAACTCTTAATTTTGCTCATTTTCTTTTTCAAAATTAGTATTTTGGGAGCTGGCTGGATCATCAGAAGACAGGTGGCAAATGTTTGGCGCTAGTTCTTAGGCATATATTTCCTACTTTAAACAATCCTATCACTTAGCAGAAGCAATGAGATATAGGAAAGAAGTGATGAGAATGGGTGAGAGTGAAAGAGAAAGAGAGAGAAAGAAAGAAGGGATTCAAATGGAGAAGGCAAAGAATAGAATAATAAAATGGCATTGCTGTCATTCAGAATTTCAATTTTAACCTATAAAAAGGTCTTTTATGTATAGAAATAAACCTTAGTAGCAACCTAACTACCAGATATTTATCTTAAAAATTTTTTTTCTGGTTTGGAACCAAAATCTCTGCTGGTTAAGTATGTCAACATAAGAGTTAAAATATACTGATTGTATTTCTTCAAGAAGTTTTAATATAGGTTGATGATTCAAAATGACTAAACAGATAAAAAACAAAATTTCAAATCAGGGAGCAGAAAGGAAATGAATGCAAATGAACATACAAAGAATAGAAGAAATAAGATAAAAATTCAGAAATGATAACTCAGAATCTTCAGGGAGGCAGGAATACCATTGGTAATTTTAAAACTATATTTGGCATTATCATATACTACATGATTTTGAGGACAAAAGATTTAATTTAAATTAGTTTTCATTCCCTGAACACCATCATAGAGGAGACATAGCCAAGAAACACTAAGTAGCTGCCACCGTGTGAATAAAATATTGCAATAAAGAGAATTCTTAAAAGAAGTTTACACTTAAATGGATAATTGAAAACTGAGATATCTGATGTATCTTAGTAAGAAACAAATTTCCTGAAAATTTCAAGTCCCAATAACTTACCACTACATCAGAAATTTTCCAGTCTGTGTATTTTTCATATTTTTGAAGTTGCTTTTCAAACAACTGGGCGATAGCTCGATGAACTAGTTCATACTGTTCCTATTGTGAACCAATAACGGAATAAACAAAATATAATATTTTTAAACAGCCAAAAAATTCATACTAATGTAATAATACAGTTGCAAAACGAACAAAAATATACCTTTGTTTGTACTGCAGAATGCCTTTGTGTTCTCATTTCTTGGATTAAATTGAATACATTAAACTCCTCAGGTATTTTCTAAAACAAATAATTTATTGCAAGAATTCTGAGAAATAATTGTACAGAAAATCAACCTAAATATAGTTTGTGTCTTATACATGATTTACTCACATCCTTCACCTACTGGTTGCCATTCATTCTTCTTAGGCAGCGATAGATTCCCATCCTTCCTTCCTATCATAACTATGCCAAGCAAGCTCTAAAATTCTCCTCTTGCTGCTTCCTGTCCTATCTTTACTTGTTTCTTACTTTTAACTCTGGCAAAAGGAAGGAGGAAGGGGAATAAGGTAGGAAAAAGTCCATGCCAGTACCACCATGGGTAGTGCCTTTCCACTTCCTAGCTTCTTACTTTTACAGCATGGAAAAGAAAGGACACATATAAAATTGCACATCCTTGAAACACTACTTTAGACATTTGAAATTTTTTTTCTAATTAAAGATATGTTAACATACTATTAAAATTCTAACTTAATAGAACACAAAGGAAAAGGAGTGTTTTGCTTAATCTACACTTTATTAGCCAAAAAAAATTACAATTGCCTTTTTTCCCCACAAAAAATTTGTTGAAAAATATTTTTGAAATTTCTTATATGTTGGACATAACTATATTTTTTGTTTCCTTGTGAATAAAAACTCACTAAACAGAACCTGCAGATGTAGAAATGAGATAACTTACGTACTTCGAATTTATCACATATAACTTTGTACTGCTTAATTATCACAAGCCATATTAACTTTCACTAATTAAATTATAATCTCTAGAAGAAAAGGACCATGTCTTACGTTTCTTTTTATTCCCTAGAGTATTTATTACAATGCTTACATATAACAGGGTCAAGAAATATCCCTTCACTGAGTAATCAATAACCATAAGAAACTTGGCAACTATTTTTTAAAATAAACAAACTTGTTTTATTTTGATTTGCCTGAGAATGCAGCCAGATTTCTAGGAGCTAAATCTGAAGGAGACTAGAGAAGAACAGACTGAGGAAAGGAGTATAGAAGACATTAGAAGCTGTAGGTTAGGGCTCCTGGCAGTACAATAGTAAAGGGAAGAGGCTTACCCTTCTTTCCTTTTCTTATCTCCCTTTGTTTTTTGCTCCCCTGAGTTAGGGGATTAAAAAAAGGGGAAAACAGGTCACGTGGGTGGCAAAAAGAATGGAGTTTTCCCTTTCTCTTCTCTTTCTTCCTTTATCTTTGGCTCAGGGAAGTTTTTCAACTCACTGAAAAGAGTGCTAATGTTTAAAAAAATTGTAAGCCCAATTCTGATTTTTATTTGCTTTTCTGTTGTTTTTTTTTTCCCGTTATATCAAGAAATTTTTTAAAAATGCTACAAGGTTAGGGAATACAGAATTAAAACATTTTTCACAAGTGACAAATGATTCAAGGCACACTAAACCCAGCAAAACCTTTCATATTTTTGTTTCATTTTTGAAAATAAAAAAAAAAAAGGCTGGGCCTATAATCAAGCTTTTTTATCTAAATACGCAATCAAAATTTTGAGAACCACATTAGTTTAATTAAAAAATAACCTTTTTAGTAGCTAAAACCTAAAATAAAAAGTGATCTAATATCAAAGATATTGTAAGAGCTATTTAAAGTATGCACTCACTAAAGGCAAGGAAGTGGCATCTTCATCACCCTCCAAATCCCACACCCTAAATAATTATATCAGTATGTATCATTCACAACTGTTTACATATCCAGATAGTAGAGTCATATGTATGTATAACAACTCATTGAAACTATTTTCCATAATCACAGGAAATTTCAAAATTCTTTTCTCTCTAATTTATTGATAACAAAAGCCATGAAAAATATGTCATAATACTGATTAAAATTATCCTTACCCCAGCTTTTAGCAAATTCCATGTATAATCTATGGCACAAATGGCTCCTGTTCTTCCACAACCTGCACTATGGATATATAATTTTTAAAAATACTATTTCATACATGCTATAAAAAATAGTAAACACAGCAATATGGTGTGTATTTTCACATAGAGAACTAAAATTTCATTAAATTACTTAAAGTATATATACTTTTCAATTACAACACAGCATTCTTATTAAATATACTTTATCCTTATAATAGCATTTTTATTTTATTAACAATGCAAATTCATACTTGTACTTCAACAGGCCAGTGGTGTCATGACTATATATAATTCCTCTCTACTATTCTTCCATGAAACTTCTAATTAAGGGTCTGTTGATACCCTGAAAACATTCACACAGAAATTTTAACACTCCTTGTGTACCAACATATGCCAGGGGCTGCCCCTTTTTTATCTTACTTCCTCCTTACTTCCAACTCAGAGTCTCTCAGTCTTTCTTTAAGATGGAGCACAAGGACCATTTTCTACTTCTTTCCTGATTCTCTACAACTATTAGTGCCCTCCATCCCAAACCCATTTATTTTTTAATGTTTATTTTATTTATGTTTAACATTTATATTTAACATGATTAATATAACATTTATGCTTAGTAAAATTGATGCTGTTTCCAACCATGTTTTTACATAGCTTTTTAGAAAAAAAAATTCCTTCAATGCAATGAACATTTGTGTGAAAGAACATCACAAAAAATGTGAATACAAGCAATAATTATTATGCCTAAAATACAGTCACTGAAAACTAGTAAAAAATTAAATTTACCACGTACAGATGTCAGAAATAACCACAGTTTTATTTAAACTTTTAAGTAAAAAAAATCATGACAATTTATTTGAAAACTCTTTTGTACCTGCAGTGTATACAAATAGGCACATCTTCATGTTCTTGGTATTCCCTCATAAGGCTGATCATGTCCAGAATAGAATCAAATGACGAAGGAACATCATGGTCTGGCCAATTCACATAATGAAACTGATACAGTCTACGAGATTCCTTGAAGAAATTAGGAAATTTAACAACTTTGAAAGTGCTCTTTGAAATTTTAAAATTTATTTATTTTCAGGTTCGAGGGATGCTTTTGCTCATTTTTCTAAGATATATGTGCATTGCTTATTAGCTTTTGTTTTTAAAATGCATTATTTATTGATAAATTAGTATGTTCCTAGAATTGTGGTACAGTCCTATTGGGATTAAAAGAAAAAAAATAAATGGTCCTTAGATTTACATCAAAACTTCTATGAAAAAACAATCTGAAATAAAGCATAAATTACTCCTTCCTTATACTCCACTCCCAAATTCCACACTTTGAGAAAGGGGAAAGAGAAAGGCATGAGAATCTTTTGCATTGTGACAGCTGCATAGAATGTGAGAGCCAGAAAAGACTTTGGAGTTTAGTTCAAAACTTTTATTTTACATTTAAGCAACAGAAGACCAGAGAGGCTAAGTGACGAACTTGAGTCAAGAACCAGTTAGTGGCAAGATCAAAGTAAGAACCCACGTTTTCCGAGATTCTTTTGTCAAACATGGGCTTGGGGGTCACATGCTAGGGATGGCAATATGGAGCCTTATGGACGTCTTTCTCTAGGCTTTGATTTGTTGATAATGTCTGTTTCAGATGGGGAGGATATTAGGGATAACAGAACTAAGAGGCAAAGTGCACAAAGGGCTAGATTTGGAGTCAAGAAGGCTCAAGTCCAAATCCTACACCTTTACCTTTAACTTATGTGGCCTTGGACAGTGACTTAACCTCCTACAGACTCAGTATAATCATCTGTGAAATACAGATACTAATACCTACCTCACAGGTTTGTTGTGAACATAAAATCAGATTATATATGTAAAGTGCTTAAAACTTTAAAGCATTACATACAAGCTGGCTTTTTTTTTTAATTGGAGGGCCAGGATGTAGTCAGAGTGGAAAAATAGAGATAAAAAGTACACAAAAGCAGTTTAAACTTACAGATAAGATTAAGTGGGAGTAACAATAACACTGATAAATATTTTTTTCCTTTTTCCCCTACTTAGGAGAGATTCCTGGTCCCTATGGCTCAGATTTGCTTCAAATGAGGATCTAGTATTATGGGAGAACAGCTTAATAATACTATGAGAATAAACAAAAGAAAATCAAAGCAGGAGGTAATAATTGTTTGAAAAATATACAGTATATCTTTGTTGTATTTTAATAGTCAGGTAGGTGGTATAGTGAACAGTACTAGGCATGTAATCAGGAAGACCTAATTTCAAATCTAGCCTCAGATACTGAATAGCTGGGTGATCCTGGGCCAAGTCATTTAACCTCTGACTGCCTCAGTTTCCTCATTCGCAAAATGAAAATAATAATAGCACCTACCTTCCAGGGTTGTTTTAAGGAACAAATGAGATATTTGTGAGGTGTTTAGCACAGTGTCTGGCACAAATGGCACTATATAAATGCTAGCCATCACTGTCACTATTTTTACACACACACACACACACACACGCACATGCACGCTTTTATAAATAAGAGTGATAAAAACATACTGACCTAAGTACAAGTTCTATTAGAAAATTAGAGGCCCAGATGAGCTAAGATTCAGAACATAAAATCTCTAGGAAAATTGAGATAGAAGTTACAATTCTAACATATAAGCCAATACTGAATGACTTTCCTACCTAGATGCTGAGGCAGAAGAGGTAGAAGGGTGGTTGTCATGTGATGCTAAAGCTAGCTATGCTAATCAATTGATAGCTATTAAAAAATTTACCTAAAAAAAACCACACACTATAAGGTACTAGGAAAAATTCTAGCCCTTGTACAAAAGATTGCCTCATCTACAAGTTTTTCAAATGTATGTATTCAGTTACTAAAAGTTCTCTGATTAACTGAAATAATAGCCTATTATTTTTTCTTATTAATCTGGAAATTTAAATTCAATTGACTGGCATACCACACATTTCAACTAATATATGCTGATTCAAATTAAAATGTATATGGAATTTGAATCTAAAATTCCACAATGATGACTATAAATAAGTCTTTAAATATTTATAAATAAGTCTTTAAATATTAAAATATAAAACAATTTCTTCACTCAAAGCAGCAGTGAATCAACACCTTAAAATTTTTGTTAAAAAAGAATGGTAATATGACATTAATGATATTTTGGAGAAGTGCTAAACTTAAAACAGGGATATAACTGGAGTTTTGTGCCAAAGGTTTAAAAAAAAAAATTATTTTTTTTTTTTTGCTGTCTCTTTCAGCTGTAGTATTAATGCTAAAAGTAATCACAATCACCAATCTCAACTGCAAGGCAGAAGAGATAATTTAAAGGACACATAATTACTGGAAACTATTCAAACACTTTCCAGTTATTTACAATTTCACTTTCTAATTAAAAATAAATTCTACTACTTTGAACAGTCAAGAAAATACTATAGGCTTGAAAGTTGGGGCATCTTATAAATAACTCTTAAAGACAGGATATTTTGCCTTAATTTTTTTAGAGGAGGCAAACAAAAAATCTCAACCAATACTCAGAATAGGAAAAAAAATATTTTATTTAGAAAATGATGAACATTCGTGTCTGGACTCTACTCTTGACTCTCTGGACCTCTTTCTCTACCATGACCCAACAGCCTTGTTACCGCGGAAGACCATGCCAACTCTGGAGCCCTTTGTTCTGATCAGGCAGTTCTTCCCTGAACTTAAATTTAAAGGAAATCCCCCAGCCCAGCTACATTCACTCCATTTCTCTCCAGACTTTTCTCCACCATGTATGTCCCCTTGTGAGTACCCTTTTTATGTTTGAAACTTCCTTTTATGTACTGTCTTCCTCCAAGAAAAGGTAAACTCAGGGATTATATTTGCTTATAGTTTCCAGCACAGAGCCCACTGCCTGGCATATATGAAGTGTTTAATAAATGATTGTTGTTATTATGCATTACAGAAAATAGCAGCTTAATTGTAAACAATTTACAGAGATTGACTGCTAACTAGAAAAAGTTACCCAAATATCTTTAAGACATAGAGGTTTTATTAAAGTCCAAGTATTGGAAAATTTTAGTCACTGATTGTCCAGTTTTTTACACAACTATAAAAAGTTCTTAAATTGTCTAAGAATATTTAAGATATACATACACACAGGAATCATACCCTAAGGTAGACTCTAAGCTTAAAGTACTTACATTTTGAAATTCAAGTAACAATGTTCTAATATAGTAGTCTGTCCTAGCTTGTTCAGCTTCCTAAATGAAAAGAAACAACTGTGAGGTACTATAATCACTAAACCTGTAGTAGATGTAAAAGAAAAGGAAGATGGGGAGAGAAAAGGGTAGGACACTACTTAACAGTTTGAAATTCAGATCAAATATTACTATTCTAAATAGTCTCATTAGTAGTTTTTACTAGAATTCTATCTATAGAGTTTTCAGTACCTGAAAGAATAATTACCACCAATATCAAACAAAGTAGAAACTAAGGCTAAAATCCAGCCTCTAATACTTTCTCTGAGTATGCCATTTGTTCTATTACAAGATTATAACGGCCCTACTTTTTTTCTTTATTATAATACCTCTAAGGCAGGAGAAAAGGTTGGAAAAGAAATCTCTAAATTTCAGTCAACAAGACATCACCTTCCTTCAGTTAAATTATATCCACAATGCACAATTTTCTAGAACCCTGCATAATCAACATCCATTTTCCTTTTTTTCTATATACTCTTGACATTCAAACAATGCTTTTCGTTTGGTATATTAAATGATGCTAAGATGGCTTGTTTTCAGTTGATAAGGTTCATGTATCAGTTCATTAGCATGAAAGTACATTCATTAAAAAAGGAATTCCTAAGTTTCTTGATTTTAAAAGCACTACATAAAAATGTAATGTTTTTATCATTATAATACAAATATATTCACCACTAACCTGCAACTTATTACCTGTGACACCTTGGCAAAAGCCACTAGACCTCTCTAGATCCCAGTATCTTCATCTGTAAAATGAGGGGGTTGGACTAGATGACCTTTAAAATCCTTTTCAGTTCTAAACTCTAGGATCCTAAGTGAAAAACTGCTGGTTTTATGTATGAGTATTTGGCTTATTGTAAACAACTGTATTTCACCCCAAGCACCTATTAAAGCAGTATGACAGAACCTAAGCAAGTTAAAAAGACTGTAACAGCATAAAGAGTACAAGTGCTCAATAATTTACAACACTAATTTTGTTACTAAAGACTGCTGTTCTATCAATGAAAGCAGACCTCAGAGTCAGGAAGACCCCAATTCAATTTCCATCTCTAACATACTAGTTGTAAGATCCTGGGCAAAATCACTTAAGCCCTCAGTGCCCCGGGCAATTCTCCAAGATTATAAATTGCAGAGCATCTGCTAAAGTGCATCAGTGAAAGACATTTCCTCACTAGAAGTTCCCTACACTAGTGAAATCACAAGACCTAACCATAAAGGGAACAACAGTTAGGTAATGTAGATACTTACACAAGAAATTTGAAATGGTGCAAATGTTAGAGAATCTTCCCCGTACAAAGGCCAGTAACGTTCACATTTTTTCTGTTGGCCAAAGAAAATTATTCAAATTAAGTTACTTACAGGTTTAGCTCTTCTTAAACATCTAAGTTCTGTTAATAACAGCCAGCTTACTACTCATAAAATGAAAATACACCACCAATTTCCAACTGTTTACTCAGCTTCCAATTCTCATTCAAATCTTTCAGTATGACTAATGCTATTATCTACATGATTCCAAGATCTGGAGACAGCTCGTCTTATTCTATTATACATATGCTACTAAAGTTGGATTGGTTACACGTTTCAGCTCATTAACTTAAGCAGATCAGGAGATGTGGACACTCATGCTTTCCCTGTTTTATCTTTTATCCACAGCCTTCCAAGATAATAAATCATATTTATATAATGCTTTAAGATTTGCAAAGAGGTTTCTTCCCAACAGCTCTATGAGATAGGCAGCACAAGTATTACTGTTCTCATTTATATAGGTAAGAACAGTGAAGCCCTGTTAAGAGACTTACCCTATTATATTTTACACAAGCAGGAAAAGTCTAAGGTAGGCTGCCAATTATCCTAATTCTAGTACTGTATTCATTATACGCCTCAAATAAAGGCCTCCAATCTCCCAAATATATTCTTCAGCCTTATGAGACATTGATTCTCTTTTCTACAGTAGTTTGATCAGTAGGAAAACCTGAAAGGAACAGGAGGATGAAGAAGGGGTAAGGGTATCTGTAAGAAAACTGCTCTATTTTTCTCTTCTTACAGCCTAGTATTTCTTCTACTAGTGATCCCAAATATTCTCTACTGGGGGCAGTTAGGTGGCACAGTATATAGAGCACTGGCCCTGGATTCAGGAGGATTCAAGTTCAAATCCGGCCGCAGACACATAACACTTACTAGCTTGGGCAAGTCACTTAACCCCATTGCCTAGCCAAAAAATAAATAAATAAAATAAAATAAAATAAATGAATCCAAATATTCTCTATTTCCCAACTTTATGAAATATATTTGATTTTCAAAACACGTTCCTCCATAGGCCACAATGTTTTAACTCATTTCCAACTAAATTTTTTTAAAACAGGCAATTCACAGTTTTGAAAAAAGTCACCAGGGGCAGCTAGGTGGTACAAAAGATTGCCAGTCCTAGTGGAAGGACCCAAGTTCAAATCCGGCCTCAACTTACTAGCTGTATGATCCTGGGCAAGTGACTTGAACCTGACTGAGCAAGGAAAGAAGGGAGGGAGAGAAGGGAGGGAAGGAGAAAATTCTCACCAACCCAGAACTAAAAAGATGGTTCATTAGTATGTTATGTCCCTAGGCTGACTTAACATCTTCTACTGAGTTAACTCGGTGCCTGCCACATAGTAGGAGCTATGAAAATGTTTATTCCCTTTCCTTCCTCTTGCCCAGGTTATTTGTGGTGCTTTTTATGCAGCAAGCTGTAATCAATAAGCAAGAGAATCAAGTTCAAGACCCAATGTAACCAAGTCCTAAAAAATTCTAGGACATACTAAAAGGGATGGCTAGTGAGCATTTAGACAATGAAATGGCACCGACAAAAACTCAGCATGGCATCCAAGAATAAGTCCTTTCAGGCTAACCATATTTGCTTTTTTTTTGGGGGGGGCTTTATTAGATTAGCAGATCAGGAGAATGCCAGAGTAAACTGAAGTCATGCTTAGTGGACAAGATGCAAAGAAATGAGCTAGAATACAGCATTATTCAAGTGGAATCAAAACTTGCTTGAATTACTTGACCCAAAGAATAATCATTAATGGGTTAACAGCAACATCAAAGTCTCTAACTCAGAGCCTCATAGAACTATCCTTGATTCTATTCTGTTTAACAACTGTAGGTTAAACATATATTTACACCTTGGATGAAGGCAACCATACTGTTTATCAAATCTGTGAATAGCACAAAGCTGAGAGAAATAGACAGATAATGTGATAGAAGACACGATCTGAAGATCGACACACAGAGTATATCGATTAAGTTAAGATGAACTTTACTAGAGACAAATATAAAGATTTATACTTGGACTCAAAAACTCAACTTCACATAACACAAGATGGGGGAAATACAGCTACATAGCAGTGCAACTGAAAAAAAAAAGATCTGGAATTCTGGTAGGTTACAAGATCAATGATTCAATCAGTGATTAATTTCTTCAATATGAAGAAAACCAATATTCAGGCCTTGCTTAGCCACTAGAACATATGCTTAAGGACATGGGCTGGCTATTTTATGTACTTTTATTCCCAAGGCTTTAACACCATGGCTTGAAATGCAATGAGCATTTAACATATTTTTTAAAAATTTCATTTCAAATACAGCGGGATTCATAAATTAGTTCAGTCATAAAAATTAAAGCACACAACTGGCATGGCATATGCTCCTAAAACTCTCAGCTAGTCAACTGAAATCATCTGGGAGGGCAGAGCTTTTTGTGTTATCCATCATCACTGAATATGGGATGTTCATTTTAAAAGCTAGTAAAAGGAGAAATGGTACATTTCTGATCATAACTAAACTCTTCAGTCACCATATACCTTAAAACAGAACCACTATGAACTTGAGCAAAAACATTGAATGGAATTGATAACAGAATAGCTTTTGTTTTCTCATGCCCTTCCTCTGGTGTCAATGCTAACAAATTATTCAAATGGGCAAACGACAGTAGAAAATTTGTAGGGAAAGTCAAGTCACATAAAGAAGAATTAAGTTTCAACTAAGTGCCTGGCATGGTGCCAAGAGAAAGCATGGAGAAAGAAAGGCAAAAAACAGTCCCTGCTGTCAAGTAATTCACAGTTTAATGGGTGAGATAACAAATGGGAGACAATCTCAGACACAAGGTACTAGCATTTCAGGAGATCAAACATGGTTTCTTGCAGAAGACGGGATTTTAGCTGGGCTCTAAAGGAAGTCAGGGAATTCTGGAGGCAGAGGAGGAGGAGTCAGTAAAAAGGCACAGTTCAGAAATGGAGTGTTTTGTCCAAGGAACATCAAGAAGGCCAATCTTACTGGATCACAGATGATCCAGAGAGAGTAAGGTGTGAGAAGACTGGGAAAGCTGGAAAGAGCTTTAAAAGCCAAACACAGGGTTTTATATTTGATCCTGGAGATAATATGGAGCCACTGGAATTTACTGACAAGTGTGAGTCAAGGGACAGTGGCAGAGTCAGACCCATGCTTTTTAGACAGCTAAGTGGAGGATAACATGGAGTGAGAAAAGACTTGAAGCAAAGAGACCAGCCGAAGAGCTATCGCAACAGCCTAGGCTTGAGGCGATAACGGCCGGTACAAGGGCAATGATAGTATCAGAGGACAGAAGGGAGCACATATACAAGAGATGAGTTCACCGAACACACATATATGCAACTCCTAAATGACTCATCCCAGTTCCAAACAAGAGTTTAAGAAAACCATTCCCAGGCGCAGCTAGGTGGTGCAGTGGATAGAGCATCAGCCCTGATTTCAAATCCAGCCTCCAACCAAACACTTGACACTTACTAGCTGTATGACCCTGGGCAAGTCACTTAACGCCAACTGAAGAAAGAGGGAGGGGGAGAGGACAGGACAGGAAGGGAGAGGGAGAGAGAGAGAGAGAGAGAGAGAGAGAGAGAGAGAGAGAGAGAGAGAGAGAGAGAGAGAGAGAGAGAGAGAGAGAGAGACAGGGAGGAAGGAAGGAAGGAAAGAAGGAAGATAGATTTCCTCTAACTTGCTTTAAAAAAAAACACAACTTTTATTAGACTCGAGACAAAAGATTCAGTGATAAAGCCAAATGTACTGCATCCCTCCCCTCTCAGTAAGTCTCTTAGAGTGATTTGTATTTTAACACCTTCAATCACTGAATTTTTTTACTCACTTTCCCTAACATCTAATATTTTATAACATCCTGCAGCCCAATTTTCAGCATACATAATACAAATTAACATCTCCACCAAAAAGATTATGGCGAAAAAAATTTTCCTTAGCCATGGGTATGGTCTAGAAACCAGGCTCAATCAAATCCAGCCTTTCTGTACTAACTGCACAAGCTCAAAAGCCTTCATTGTCTAGGTCAAGATCCAGCCATACTTTCCTTCAGTGCCTAGCTACCATCTCAGAAAGTAGCCTTTCTGTTGTATGTGTAATGCCCTCCCATTTAATCTTCATAATAAAGTAAAGCATAACCCTATAATTTGCCTGTCATATAACTTTTTTTCCCCACCATGCTAAAAGCAACATTCATATAGCTTGTATTCTCTGAAAATATTCTCTGAAAATGTCTAGGTAAGATCATATCATGCTAAAGTCCTCCTGCCACTTCTAGAAACAAAACCATCCTGGGAATGGTTTAAGATATGACTGTATTAGATTCAAATAGCAAACTTTACATAATAGCTGAATGATGATATAGTGAAATTTAAGTTTATCATCTTTAACACTAATGTGATAAGTAGGGGCACACTACAGAAACAATTAAGTTTACATACCCTTCCCATTTCAAATTCTCGACAAGCCATTACAATGATCTTTAAAAAAAAAAAAAGAGCATATATATGTCAATTAAAAGCACAATTTTACACAAACAAAAAAAGCATAAATTTGGGACATTTTCTTCTCCCTCTGCAAGTATTCACCTGACATATTCAAATATGCACAGACTACTGAATTTAACTTTTATAAGAAAACTAACCAAATCACTATCAAAATTACTAACATGTAACAATTCTATTTTTTTTAATAATTTTGAACAAATTTAAATACTCTAAATAGCCCTTCCAATTATTAGTGATATAGAAAAACTGATTTCTTCTAAAACATAACTATGTAAGTAAGTCTTAAACTGCTAACTAATCTAAAAACATCACTAAAAATAAATGCAGCAACAGAAGTGTGCGATGAATATAGTAAATTTAGCTACAGATCAAAAGAGCAACAATAAGCTGCATAGTTCTAATTTTAATGTAATTTTAAGAAGACTTCTGACTTTTACACTGTTCTAAAATAATGCTTTTAGATTAGATGTAATTAACCAAGCAGAAGCAATAGTAAACATTTTAAATAACTTCCACAGAATTTTCTAAAAATGGGAAGTGTGATATAATTATATTTCTTACATTATTAAATTCTTTCCTATGAAGAACATGAAAAGATAATAACAGTAATGACTGGAAATATCTCAAATTTCAGCAGGCATCAGAAAAATAACAAGCTTGAAACGCCTCATAAACCTGCTATTTAAAGTCAAATTTTGATGTAATATATAGCAAAAGTCCATTGGAATAAGAAAAAAATCAATTACAAGTATGACAGATATCCACATTTGGAGAAACATGATAATCACAAAAAGCTATCTCTGAAGTGGTCTTAGTCTTAGTTTCATATAAATCTCACTAATAATTCTTATAAAACAGATACGGAAACAAATTACTTACTACAACATTGTATTCCCATATCATCCTCCAAAAATCTATAACTGTATTTGCTAATGGTCCTTGGGTTGCAACATACGCTTTTGGCCCATAGACTCCCTAAAAAAAGTAAAAAGCAAAATTCACATGCAAAGGAATATTAATACCTTCATTTCTAGGTGTCTCAAACTTGACTCCCACTTCTCATGCAATATATTTCCAAAATGTTTTCTCATGCTAACAACATGTCAACCTTCTAAAACATGTTATTAAACCCTCATGTGTGTAACAGATAATAGAACCTCAAAGTTCACAAAGACATCCCCGACAAGAGGCTCAAAGTGGTAAAACAACTTGTATGACATGGAGTGAATGGTCCACTAGATGGCCTCTAAGATCTTCTTCAAGTCTACACATACAAATCTTACTTATTTTAGCCCTTCCATCAGGCTAGAGGAATCAACAAAGAATATGATAAAAGGACACAAGCAAAGGTGAACCAATGTTCAACCTTGAGGGGAGTATTTTTTTTCACATGCCAGAAGTGATTCAAAAAACCAATTTTATATATGCTGGTAACAAGAACATGTATTGAAAAGAAAATCAAAATAGAATCCAACCCATCATTAAATTTTTAAAAAATCATTTATAATTTTAAATTAAGGTTTGCAGGTTAACTCCTAAAATTTGTCTTTAAAAAATTCCACTGAAAATAAAATGTTACTTTAAGTATTGTACTGGTTTAAATAATACTAACATAATTCAAACTAGTAGGCTATAGCAAAATTAATGAAACAAAATGAGGTTCTTAAAGTTATTAAGAAACAGAAATTCCCACTTACAAATGATATAAAATACAAAATAGGGGAAATGAAAATCAAACTATTTTGACCAAACGAAGTTTTCTGCCCAGATCTGAAATTTCATTAGTATAGGGAACTACTGATGAAGAAACTCCTTTTACCAATGTAGGTCAGTTACTAGTTGCTGCGGTAATTTCCTCCAGAGGTTAAGGGATTCGGTCCTGGGTCATATGGACAGTACATGTCAGAAGGAAAACTTATACTCACCTTTGGAGTCTTTCTGACTCCAAACATGGCTCTTTTATCTACTATGCAACATTTCTTCTTTAAAAGAGCCTGCCTGCAGTTCAGACCGCTACCAAAAACCAAAACAGTTTTTCAAGCACATATGCCTGATTATACTAAGCAAAGTCAATAATTCAAAGAAGCTCTAATTGGTTCTGTTATCTATCTCACAGGGTTCAGAAGACCAAAAAAAAAACATGTGAAAGCACTTTGCAAACCTTAAAATGCAATGTAAGTACAAAATATTATGTGTTAAAACATACCTTAATAAAATTCGCATTGATGTAGTCTGAATCTTGGGAAGGAGTCTTTAGAGTCAGCTTAACTCGGCTGTGATCAACTATAAAAGAAAAGATTCAGTGAATTACTTCCCATTTTATGTGGCACTATTTTGCAAACACAATTTGATGAAAATAAATGAAACAATTACATTAAAAACCAATAGTCTAACAACAATGTAGCTATTCCTGGAATAATGGAGTGATGAAAATGGGAATCCTGAAAAATATCATACTCCCAAAATGCTTAAGAAAAACTAAATATTTTTTGGGGGGGCAATTGGGGTTAAGTGACTTGCCCAGGGTCACACAGCTAGTAAGTGCCAAGTATTTGATCTGAGGCGGCATTTGAACTCAGGTCCTCCTCACTTCAGGGCCAGTGCTCTATCCACTGTGCCACCTAGCTGCCCCTAAAACTAAATAATTTAACAATCTAAATCATCCTGTTTTTATAACATACCACTTAATTTTTTTTAATAAACCAAGAATCTAATAAAATATAAGAAATTATAGCAATGTCAAACCAGAAGGCAGCTAGGTGACTATAAAGCTATAAAATAAACTGGAGAAGGAAATGGCAAGTCACTCTAGTAGTACCTTTGCCAACAAAACCCCAAATGGGGCCATGAAGAGTTGGACACGACTGAAATGACTGAACAACAGACAAACCACACTTATGGCATGAACTTCACTATTATTGTGGAAATTAAAGTTGACTGTAAGCATATGCTTTATTTCAGCTTGGCCTAATTAGCTAATAACATCTACTCATATAGTGCTCTAAGCCTAAAAGGTAGTTTGAGATGGGAAAAATATAATTTTCAATTATTAATTCAACCTGTCCACGGTGGTGAACAGGATGTGGTAAACACAAGATAAAAAAGATGGCCCTCTTCAGCTATACAAAGTCTTATCATTCTTTCTTGCACAATAGTACTAAGACACAATAAGGAAAGGAAAATGTTAGGGACAGAAAGCTTGCATACTATTAATGGATTCTTTAGAATAATAAAGTACAAAAACTTCTCTGTGATCTGAACTTGCAATTAAGGAAGTACAATTTCACAGGGAAAAATTCACTAAGATTTTTATCTAGTGATTTCTGGAGAAGGAAAATGCAAAATGCATGGCAAGTATGCTGACAAATAGAAGGAAAAGATCTGAAAATATAACTTTTTAATCAATCACTTCATCTCCACTGCTCTCAGGAAGATGACATTTCCAGGAAAATCTTCAGCTATTTCTCCATCAATTTCTTGGTTCATCCAACTCCTATACAGCCTTATCATTTTTATTTAGATGACTTTATCAAATGAGTATTTTAACATCTTCCTGATATTTCCCCCTTCAGGAGCCATAACCACACAATCTATTTTTTTTTCCAGAAAGAAAGCATAACAAGACTTTTTTTATTTTGATTTATCAATAATCACTTCCATATGCTTTTGAGTTTAAAATTTTTCCATCTGATATAGGCTATACATTTACATTCCTATTAAACATATTTTCACATTACTGATGTTATAAGTAAAAATTAACACCAATAGGAGGAACCATCAGGAAGAGGAAACAAAACTCAACATGTTGACACACGATTAGTATGGAAAATGACAGAATGCTGTGAATTTAGCAATGAAATTATTCAGTTACTTCACAGTTTACCCTTCAGTGTACCTGCCTGTAAGGGCCCCAATAAGCTCTTTTCTGCATTACATACTACATTAGATCTCCAATCAAGTGAAATGCATGGCACAAGTTAGGTTTTTTCACCTCTTTATATTATATTCCTCAGCTCTTGCACAGTGTGCTTTATAGCAAGGAGACAGGGAGAAAAACAGCTGGTATTCAGTGTCTTTCCGGTCCCTTCCATATTATTCCCCACATTTTCACATTCCTTCCCCTGCAGTATCCTATGAATTTCGCTCTTCTGCTTGCTCAGATTATTTGGATGACTAGACAAATGGTGAGAGTACAGAATAAAAATGGCTTTGTTTTTGAGGGTTCAAAGATATTTTTAATCAACAACATGATAAAGACATTTATCAGATTTTTAAGAGACACAATCTAGGCACAGTATCAAAGTAAAGATTTTGAGCTCTCTGACCCCATTCTTCTGTAAAATGAGGATAAAATTTGGAGACTATATCTCATAATGTTGTGAGAAAATCATTTTGTAAACTATAAAAGCAGAGCTATGTAAACATATTATCAGGACAAGCTTGATCTGAATCTGTCATTTCATTAATTTCTAAGAAAGCTGCCTAGTCTCTAAGAGATTAAATTGGCTCTTAGGAGGATTACACACAATCAGTATTGTATCAGAAGTAGAACTTGAAGTCAGAGTCTTCTTAGCTTTGAGAAAAATTATTCATGATGCTTCAAGATTAAAAATATAATGCCTTGCATAAAGGTTTAAAAAACCAACTATATAAATACAGCATAACAGGAGATATGACTTAAGTTCATGTGAAAATCATTTGGCTAACCACAAGATTCATGAGTCAATAGAGTATGATGCATGTTTAAAAAATATTAATGCGAAGCATAATCAGAATGTTAGTCCCATAAAACTAGCCATATCATTCATTACATAAATGAAGATTGTTAGTTTTAACATAAGCAGTGACAGTCAGGGTGGTGTTCAAGGGAGTGATAAGGATAGCAAATAAAGTGTGGAACCAATCTCCTACAAACAATTCAAAGAACTATTTAGCCAGGAGAAAAGATGACTTAGAGGACACATTACTAGAATTACCTTTAAATGTTCTGTCAAACATGTCAATTTATATGGCTCTACAAGGATGATATACATAGTAGTTATTGTAAGGAATCGTTTTCCCCCCTAACAAGTGATGGGTCTAATTAGTTCCTTTTTACTCTAAGTGTTAGACAGTGGATAAAGACAGACAGACAGATTTCTATAAAAGCAAGAGACTTTCTAGGAAGGAAGTCCCATTTTCAGTGTGAGATTTAACTAAATAAATGAGCTTATATTCTATCAATGGAAAATACATACATGGGGGGGATGGGAGAAGTGGGGGAAGGTGCCAGAGAAAGTAGCATTTGTGAAGATGAGGAAGGTTCTCATGTAGGAAGATGGCAAGTGACCCGAGTTTGAAAGAATTTAGGGATTCTATGATTTAAGTGGGTAACACATTCCTGTCATGCAGGACAGGATACTGGGGGGGGGGGAGTGAAGGAGGGAGAAGGAGCAAACATTGACTCTAACGTGGTTGGACCACGGATTGCATTAAGGGAAATAATTGCTAATGAGACTTTATAAGTAAGTTGGAGCCAGACTGCAAAGGGCTTCAAATGTTAAAAAAAAAAAAGGAGTTTGTATTTGATGTTAGTGGCAACAAGAAACCAATGGAGATTCTTGAAGAAGAGAGGACAAGGTCATACCTGTGAAAATACCACTTTGGAAATTGTGTGGAAAATGAATTAAAAAGAACTTTACTTCGATGGCTACTTAAATATCACTGTACTTGGTTATGCCTATGTCATTTGTAAGAGATAAGGAAATGAGAGAAATTTTATGAATGCAGTAGAGCCCACCAAACTAAATCAACACACACTTTACATGAAGTGACTTCAAAAGTCAAGATAGAGGAAGGCAAAGAAAAAAGTTGGAAACATGGTTTAGGATTAAGGAATTAAAGAGTCAAAAGACTGATGAGACTACACAGAAGCTTTGAGACTATATATCATGAGTATTTTATCTAAGAAGAGTCAAGAAGTTAATTAATCCCATAAAAAAGGACACAATATTCTAGATGTGCTCCAAACAAAGCAGGCCATATGGGGGGAACATTGTCCTAGCTACATTCAGGTATAAAAAAGGACCTTAGACTCCAGACCAAGGTGTGTCTATCAGTCTCTAGACAACTGGAGACTACTCAAGTTTTTTTTAATACTGAAATGACATAATCACTCCTTGTAGAGATTATTTTGTCAGCTCTTAGGAGGACATATTAGAAACTGAAGAGTCTGTAAAGAGAACAGTTATAAGGCTATAACAATAATCCATGTTAGAGATGATGGTGGCCAGAACTAGGGAAGTGGTGGTATGAAGACACTGTACAAGTAGAATTAACAAGCTGTGACAATGGACTGGACATGGGGGTAAGGGAGACCGTCAAAGATGATCCCAGAGTTAGGCAAATAGGTGACGGGGAAGATAGCAGAATCCATAAATAGGAAATGGACATTCTGATTTCATTTTTTTGTTTTCATTTTGTGATATTTTCACCATTATTATTTGTCTAATTCTTTCAGTATATTTATTATCTATTTTTATTGTGTGAAACCAATTCTGATGTTGTTTCTGTTGCTACTGTTGGGAGTTTCATAAGACATTTTTGCCTTGGCTTCCATGTTTTCATTGCATGAATGATTTTCTTTTGTTGATCATTTCTTTATTTTTTTCCCTTCTAAGGATTTCTAACACATTATTCTTCCTGGCATTTTTAATCAACAACATAGATAAAGACATATTTATCAGATTTTCAAGAGACACAATCTAGGTCCCTTTATTGCTTTTTTTTTGAAGGAGATATTGAAGCTATCAGCTCCCTTGCAACCTCTTATGGACAGATGTCCACTCCCACACCCACCACCATAATTTAGGCCTTCATTATTCTTCAGTTCAGATGTTGATTAAGTATGGCCCAGTGACTTTTTGTAGCTGAGAATGTTTTTTACATTGTCAAATTCATTAAAATTTTACTTAAACATTCTTAGCTCATGGGCCATACAGTAACAACCCTCCTAATTCCACCTCTTCCCAGTATGTCAACCCCTAAGATAAATTAATGCAAAAGCCTCCAAATTGATCTCCCTGCATCAAGCCTCTCACTATTTTGGCCCATCCTACACATAGATGCCAAAAGAATTGTCCCTAAGTGTCTTACTATGTCATTCCCCTCCTCAAACGAACCTGTGGTTCCCAATTGATCCTAGGATAAAATAAACACCTCAGTTTGGCTTTTAAAGCTCTCTATAAACCTGGAATCAACTTACCTTTCCAACTTCATGATACATCACTCCCCTTTCCACCCTT